GGGAGGAGGCAGGGGGAGGAAAAGCTGAACAGAGAGAGAACTGCCTGAGAAGCAGGTGATGCTAAAGCTCCAGCCAAGCCAAGGAACTCAGAGGCAGTTTCCAGGAAGCAAGAACAAAGCCGCTTGAGAGCGTAGAGAAATCAGGAAAAGAAACTGTTGGCTTTAGCGGCGAACCACTGTAGATTCAAGGACAAAACTTTTTAGTAAAGTAGCGGGGCCAAATTCTGCTTGTAAGGGGTAAGAAAGAAGCTGGCACTAAGAAATCGGATCTCATGAACCTGGGCTATTTTTTAGTTTAGTTTATTTTTTAAATTTTTTAGTTTTCAATTGCAGTTGACATTCAGTATTTTATTAGTTTTGGATGTACCACATAGGGGTTATGTTCTGGCCACCAAGCAGAAGAATATACCTAAGGAACTAACAGTAAAGGTAGAACAAGATCCCCACTGCACAGGACAAGCCCTGACAAGCCAGCCCAATAATTACCGCCCCCCCTGAGTTCCCATAGAAAGAACAAACCAGTCACGCTCAGGCCAAGCATAACCCCATCACTCATCGTAACACATTGTGTTTAAATCTCCCCTTTTGTGTTGCTAAAGGTCCCCCTTGTTTCCTGTAACCAAACCTGACAGCCTGACAAATTCTTGGAAACCCCTTTACTGCAGCGCCTCTGTGGTTACTGGGTATACAATGAGGGAAGAACTGAGGGTCGGGGCTGCAGTTCGGCTCTCACGTGGGTGAGATGCTGCAACTGTAGCTGCTGGCAGCTAATAAAGGCTCCAGAATGCAAACACAAACTCTAGTGGTCGCCTGTCGCGGGTCCCCCCAGAACAGTTACACATTTACGTAACTTAAGAAGTGATGCCTTTGGTCCGTCTAGTACCCACCTGGCAGCATGCATAATTATTACAATATTATTGACTGTATGCCCTAAGCTGTACTTGACATCCCGTGACTGTTTTGTGCCTGCCGAGCTGTACTTCTCAGTCCCTTCTCCTTTTCACCCAGCCCCATCCTTCCTCCCCTCCGGCATACAGACCCTGCGCTACTGCTAAGCGAAGAAATCTACTTTGAAGCAAAGTTCACATGTATGATGAAAAAGTATGGTGTTTTCCTGAATCTTCAGCTTTTACACTGGCTTTCAGGTTTTTCTTTCTTCGTTTTCAACAGTGACAGGCGGCTATTTACATTGCAGCTCATTTTCTATTCTTTCTTTCTCATGAAAATAACGTATTTGCAGCCCTTTCAGTGCCTCGGCTGGAGGGAGGTCAGAATTGAACAAGTTGCATGAGACAGTGGTAGTTTAACTGTGTCTGCGGCCAACGCAGACAAGGTTGGCAAAGAAAGAGAATCCTAAGGCATTTCAAACTCTTAGTTTAGCCCCGTTCTGCTGCTGCCTAACTTCTCGCAAGCACAGTAGTGACACTTAGGGATGCGCTGCCGCTTGATATCACCAGGATTTCTCCTAACCCCATGTCCCACACTGGGCTCAGCTGCAACCTGTCTTTAGGCTGGTTGTTCTTTAGAAAATGCACTGACCCTTATAAATCCCTTGCCAACCGTGCCCCAGCTCTGATAAGAAAATCAAGCTCTTACCTGTTGTTTTCTCCTCCTCAGTTTAGGTTGGAGTGGTTTCTGTTCTGTTCCACTGAGTGACTGGACTTTTATATCACCCTTAGGATGCAGGAGGCACTCGGGAGTTCCTAAATACCCTTTCATTAGAAGCAAAGGAGTTACGGTAACGTGAAACTGAAAGCACTGAGAAAAAGGCAATGGCGCAACAACCATAAAAGGAATTCCTGAAAGCTGTGCGAATGGATTTCACAAAATATCTCAGCTAGTTCAATTTCACAAAAGCTCCACCCCTGGTGAGTAAGCAGGGTAAGGTGTATCCCTGGGAAGGGCAGGCCACCAGTATTTCTCATCCCCTCCGGCACTGAGTTGTAGAAGTTAAATTCCTCGAGGCTGAGGCTCCAAATCTCCACCCAGCCCCTGAAGGCTTTAGCTGATGCTAGCGGGCTGAGATCACCCTCACTCTGGCTCATTTGTAGGGCGGAGTTTCCAAGCTGGGAGAGCCAGGTGGAGAAGACCAGAGGCTATACCACCCCAGCCCAGCAGAGGAGCAGTGGCTCAGAGATTTTTGTTCAGGGAGAGAAGCAGTCCATAAACACGGAGATCTCTGAAGTTTTCCCCCAAAGAACTGATTTTATTTGAAACAGAGTGTGGGGACAGGAAGAAACTTTATTGCTTGCAGATTGATTTTACAAAAAAATACAAAAGGAGGTCTTTAGGCAGGAACCAAGTGACCCCAGATGATACTACAAATCCATAAAGAAAAACAAAGAGAACCAGTAAGGGAATTATGTAGTTATAAAGGACAGTATAAATGCAGATTTCTTCTTTCTTCTCTTAACTGGTTTAAAATTCAGTTGTGTACAACAATATGTATATAATTGCATCGCAGGGCCTATAACATACATAAATGTAATATATTTAGCAATAACAGAATAAACGAGGTAAGTGGACACAAAGCCTATTGAAATAAAGACATGACACCTGATGTTAACTTGAACTCATAGGAATAAAGAGAACCTGAAATTATAAGTGAGAAAGTTAACGTAAGAAGCCCTACAAATTTATTCTTTCTCCTTCAGCTTCTTTAACAGACATAATGACTATCAAAATATATTGTTGAAATTGTTACCTATAGGTATAATTTGTAATATATATGTAAAAATAATAGCACTAAAAGGGGTAAGAAGGAATAGAGTTACAGGAGTAACAGTTCTGCCTCACTGGAATTAATTTAGCATAAATTTGAGGTATATTCTTTTTTTTTAATTTTTTATTGAATTTATTAGTGTGACATTGGTTAATAAAATTACATAGGCGTCAAGTGTACAATTCTCTAATACATCATCTGTATACTGTATTGTGTTTTTACCACTCAAAGTCAAGCCTCTGTCCACCATCATTTATCCCCCCTTTACTCTCTTCTGCCTCCCCAAGTCCCTCTTTTTCCTCTGGTCATCACCGTACTGTTGCCTGGGTCTGTGAGGGTTCTTCTTCTTTTTTGCTTAATCCCTGCCCCTTTCTCACCCAGCTCCCCCACCCCCAACTCCCTTCTCCTGTACAGACCTGGAGAGTATGATGCTAAGTGAGATAAACCAGTCAGAAAAAGACAAATACCATGTGATTTCACTTATATGTGGAATCTAATGAGCAAAATAAACTAACAAACAAAATAGAAACAGACTCATAAATAAAGAGAACAGACTGAGGTTACCCTGGAGCACCATCAAGAAAACAACAGATCTCAAATTAAAATCCTTTCCCCTTAGGACACTGATAAAATAAGAGCAAACTAAATCCAAAGCAAGCAGAAGGGAAAGAAAAAAAGATTTCTGTAAATGAATGTTGTGATATTAATGAAATAAATAGAAAGATAAAGAGGAAAAAAATCAGTGCAAGCAAAAGCTGGTTCTTTAAAAAGATCAGCCAAATTGACAAGCTTTTAGCTAAAATGACCAAGAAAAAAAGAAGGGAGACTCCAATTACTAAAATCAGGAATGAAAGAGGGGACATTAGTATTTACATTAGAGAAATAAAAAGGATTATAAGGCAATACTATAAAAAACTATACCATCCAGCCGCGTGTGGCTCAGTGGTAGAGCATTGACCTAGGATCCAGGAGATCAGGATTCGATTCCTGGTCAAGGCACATGCCCAGGTTTCGGGCTGCAGTCGATCAGTGACTCTCTCATCATTGATGTTTCTGTCTCTCTCTCTCCCTCTCCCTTCCTCTCTCTGAAATCAATAAAGATATATTAAAAACAAACAAACAAATAAACAAAAAACCTGTATACAAATGAATTAGATTAAAAAAATGGACAAATTCCTAGAAAGATACAAACTACTGAAACTGTCTCAAGAAGAAATAGCTCATCTGAATAGACTTATAACAAGTAAAGAGATTGAAAACTACCATCAAGAAAAGCTTAGGCCCAAACGGCTTTACTGGTGATTTCTACCAAACATTTAAAGACAAATTAATACCCATTCCTCACAAACTTGGCCAAAAATAGAAAAGGAAATTTACCCCAATTCCCTTAATGTTATTTTTTCACATTACTTTCTCTCTCTGTCTGAACTATTTGAGAGTTAGTAACAGACATAATGCCTCACTATATATCGCCTTTAAAAATTACCTGGAAGAGAGACTACAGCTTCTCCATCTCCTCCTTCCAGTTGCGTAGTCTACTTGGTTTCTATATTGGCCATCTGCTGATGTCCATATAGACAGTCGTCTGTTTGATTGTGTTGAAGCACATGTTTGTGCTGGACAAGTTGTTTTTCTCACAGAACTTCATGAGCTGTTTTTCTGCTTCATTTCTGACCCCCACTCCCAATATTTGATTCTGCTTTATTTCCTACTTTTGCATTCTAGTCACTGATTGCTATCAGCATGTCTTGTTCTGATGTGTGGTTACTTGCATAAAATCATTCAATTTCATTTTATTCAGTTCATTAAAATGAAAGTAGAGAGAGGGGGAAAAAAAGAACAGGAAAACATAGCAGTGGTTTACCACTATCTTCTGCTGTGCAGTGTGTGGGTCCAAACCCCACATGTGTTGGGTCCCTGGTGTCACAATCACCAAACACCTACTAAATATAAGCTCTGCTGTGGTTCTAAGTTTTTTATAGGTGTTATTAACTAAATTCAATTTATTCTTCAGCACATGCATATAATATAGCTATTATTATTATTTGCATTTTACACACTAGTAAATACAGTTTAAAGATATTTAATGCTTTTAATTTTTGTTTGTTTTTTAAATCGATTTTTGGAGAGAGAGGAAGGGAGAGGGAGAGAGAGAATGAAACATTGGTGTGAGAGTAAAACAACGATCGGCTGCTTCCTGCATGCCCCACACCAAGGGGGATATATATATCTTTATTGATTTCAGAGAGATGAAGGGAGAGGGAGAGAGAGAGATATAGAAACATCAATGATGAGAGAGTCATTGATCGGCTGCCTTCTACACGCCCCCAACTGGGGATGCAGCCCGCAACCTGGGCATGTGCCCTGACCGGGAATCGAACCTTGATCTGGATCATAAGTTGATGTTCAACCACTGAGCCATGCCAGCCGTGTCATACTGGGGGATTGAGCCCAAAATCCAGGAATATGTCCGGACCTGGAGTTGACCCCCAACCTTGCACTGCAGGAGTTGACGCCCAACCAACTGATGCACATTGGGCAGGGCTCATGGTTTGTTAATAGCAGTTCATTGGGCCGTAAGGCCCTGGTGATTGATTTGAGGTTTCCTGAAATGATGAGTCAGTGTGTTAAGAGGAAGGTGAAATTAGGTTCATCCATGGCTCTGTGTTTGCAAAGTGGGCTGAAATGCTGCTGCTGCATGTCTCCCCATTTATCCTCACTGCCTCTGGCAGTCTGACCAGGGCTTTTATAAATTAAAATTCTCTGGCTCTTCCTTTTCTCACAAGTGAGGAATTTCTTGTGTCGATTAATGACAACTTGAAAGTATTTGTATTGAACACACGTCCTTTGAAAATGCAAGTGGAAACAAGCTCTTAGTTTCCCAAGAATAGACTAGATGCTAAGAAAACAGCTCCTTCCTGTTTAGTACAATGAAATTCTGTGCAGTTTTTGTGCCTTTTATTTTCATGTGAGGCTATTTGAAAATTTTTCCAGGGACTTTTTGAAATGCTGAGTATGATGAAGTTATATTTCCTCTCTTTCCAGTGTACTTGGAGTTGCAGTCTCTAGAATATTTGTGTTATTCTAGAAGATAGTCACAGATCAAATTAATTTGCACGTTAGTATTAGTAGATTAAAAATTGATGTGTGTATATGTGCTTAGTGACTTCAAATGTTATCCAGACAGACTCTGAATTTCAGATGTGGGATATTTTTATACTAAGCTGCTTTTCACATGTGCAAACATCCAGAGTCAAGAGAATACGTACAGCGTGTGGAGATACAAGCAGTTCATTCCAACCTCAACAGTCTTAAGCCCTACAGTGCTGAAAAGAATTCTTAAAATGTTGAGCTGATCCTGAACAATTTTTCCTTCTAATTCATCACCTTTATAGATGTGGGGCAGGAATTTGGAGACCATTCCAGTTGACATCCCAGTAAATTTTATATCTGGACAGAAATTAGGGAGAAATTTAAAGACCTTATTGAGAGGCCCAAACGACAACAAAATTAAGGTGCACAGTTTGTAATTTCTGTTTCCTGCTGTAAAAAGTAGACTCATTCTGTTGAGCTGACTTATGGTCTTTCTAGTAGTGTTAAAGACTCTGATTTTGTCATGAGAACTTTGTCTTTCCATGTATTTTTATTTTAGTTTCAATTTTGTAATTGTACTTATTTAGGTTTAAATAAGTAATAATTTATAAAAGATACAGAAAAATATGTTATGTAAGACTAGTTATCCTTTCATATCTTACGTCAGCTATGCACGTTCATTCCTGTTGTGTCCATGGATACTGTTTTGCTTTATATTTTTCCAGATAGATGATTATAAATGCACGTAGTCATTATTTGCTAAATTTGGTGGTACCACCATACGCACATCCTGCATCTTTTTTTCACTTATGATAAATCTGTAAGTTTCTTCACGTTAGTACATACAGAGCCTCCCTTTCATTTTAGTGACTTTTGGGTATTCCTCCTTTGTAAGCATGTCTCAAGACTTAAAGCTCTTTTCAGTCTTTTGGAGTGATAGCCATCCTGCCACAAATGTACTACTACTACGTCATTTTCAACTGGGGTAAATAAATCTTAAGGTTAGTTCCTGAATGTGGACTTGCTGAATCAATAGCAGTTGCATTCAAAATTTTGATGTGTATTTGCGCCAAATTGCATTCTCACTAGCAAGGGCCAGAGACTGCCAGTTTCCTGAAACCCTTGCCAACCTACTGTCCCATCAAAACTGTCCTTTCTGGACCATCTGACAGGTGACACAGGTACCTCCTAGTTTTACTTTGCATGTCTTTTATAATCATTAAAGTTAAATGTTATACTTTTGTCCATTTAAAAAATGTGGTTGTTGTTCTTTGCTCCTGGATTCCTAAGGATCATTATCACTGAAGAAACAATCTCCGTGGCTATAATACAGATTGCCAGTGTTTTCTTCGTCTTACCATTTGTCTTTTTGCTTTACTTAAACCTTTACTATGACTAAATTATCTTCTAACTTATTTTTCATTTCTTAAAAGCAATTAATTTCATCAACATTAAACTTTTTTTTTTTGGTATATCAGGCCCTGATATCCTTTGGTAATCACTCTTTATTTTTAAACTTTTATTGGCTGAAACTACTATGGCACACATACTTATAAAATGAGCCACAGTGTTATGCTATTATACTGTAAGGAACATTTTATAATATATTTACCAAATATTCTCAGCCTGTCTAAAAAATAAAATCTACTCATTTTCTTCATTGGGCCAGGGAGTTCTCTAGTAATACACCAGCTGCCATATAAAAGAGCTCTATAAATATTGAAGGCCAAATGTTTTCAGTTTCTTCAATCTCTTCTTTTAGTTGATTTATCTCTTTCCTCATCTTCTCCGATTCCTTTTCAAATCCCTCAATAAGTAGTTCTTCTTGGATCTGTAAAAAAAGGAGAAAGTTCCTTTGAAAATCCCAATTAGCAGCACTTTNAAAAAAAGGAGAAAGTTCCTTTGAAAATCCCAATTAGCAGTACTTAATGACTGCAGCAGCTCAGTTCTATTTCTCTACTCACTTAAATGCTCTTTGAAGCCTTTGTCCAAAATTTTCAAATATTTGGACCTCATAGTGGGAGTATCCGTGGTTTATAAATTTCTAAGGCCTCTCGGTAGCATCTCACTTCGGGGGTGGAGAGGTGGGGATGTGTCAGGCCTGACAACTATGCCAGGAATGTGTTCCAGTCCCCACAATGCTCTTTGGGAAGGTTGGAGGTTTAACTCTAATTATTTCTCAGTTCCACTGAAGTAGGATGACCACACACGTGTAACACATAATGGGAACTTCTGACTTACCTTCTGCTTGTGCTCCAGCATTCTTTCCTGCTCTCTCAATCGGTTTTCGCTTTCTCTCTTAATCTTCTCCTTCAGTTGCACTAAGTTTTCCTGGAAGCTTTTCTCTTGAGCCTCCGATTTTTCCTGCTCTTCCTTCTGTTTCTGTCTTAGCAGCTCCAGCTCCTTCTCAGCTTCCCAGTTCTTGGCACGCTCAGCTGTTCCCCAAGGGTGACAGGGGAAGGAAAGTCAGTTATGCTCAGCTGTACCCCACTGGGCTCAGAGACTAAAAGGACTGTAAAATGGTAAGGCGGAGCCTGTGTCTCAGAATGTGATGGAAGGGCGGGAACTGGCCGAGTAAGCTGCCAGAACTGCCCCGTGATTTCCAGTGTAGTCGAGGTGCTGGACAGAAGGCCAGGAGGCGCCTGGTTTCAGGAGGGCCTCGCTCTCACCTGCTGCGGGCGCTGCAGGATCCCCCTCCCCTGTGTGATCAGAGCCCCGCTGTACCTGCCAGGGCCCTCTCTGTGGCCGTGAGGGCTGTGTCTGCCTGCAGGATGGAGTCCTTTGTTGCTGCTTGTGACTGCAGGAAGCCTTGGAGAACCTCATTTGCCTGGAAAAAAAAAAAAAAGGAGCTAAGACTCTTGTCAATAAAACTACAAATTTGACCCTGCAAATTCTTCATCGTTCTTAGGATCCCACAGCGGTTCCCTTCCTTCCATGGTCACAATAAAAAAATCCAGCCCTGGCCCATGTGGCTCAGTTGGTTGGAGCATCAGCTCACATGGAAAGGTTGTGGGATAGATGCCCAGTAAGGCATGTGCAGGAGGCAACCCCCCACCTCTGTAAATAAAAAACACACATACAGATGCCATTTAAAAAAAAATCCAACCTTTTTAGTTAGAATAAAACCCTCTTTGGCAGCCTTTTTCTTAGCTCTCCAGCTTCCTGTCTGAATGATTCCAGCCCCCCCACACCCAGGGCACAGACAACCAGGTTTCTGTGCAGTTCTACACTCATCCCTTGTTTGCAATATCTGCCCATTCTTTTCCTTCTGCCTGGGTGCTCATCTACCCTTTCTTTACTCATGTAGCATAGACTGATTCCTCAACTTGTCGCTCCTATCTCCCCTTCCAGGAAGCTTTGCTGAACTTCCTTCTGAGATCCGAATCGCTGCCAGGTACAGAGCTGCCCTACCAGCTCTACCACTTGCTCGCTGTGTGTTCTTAGGCAATTATTAGCTTCTCAGTGCATCACATTTCTGTATAATGGGGATGACAGTAGCACCTAAATTCACATTATTCTAAGAATTAAATTGATAATCCAAACACATCACCTAAGGTGATACCTGTAATAGAAAGTGAGTGCTCAATATGTTAGCCATCACCATCATCATCGTCATCACTACCATTGTATGATTATATAAGCATATCCCATCATATCCAATTGACTATTTACATGTCCTTTATCAGTAAGATCATAGATTTTTGAGAATGTTCTTTCTTTAATTATATATCTCTTATACTTAGCACAAACTATCCACACTCTTTCTTAAATAAAACAAATGTTCTATTTCATCTAGATTTCTGATAATAAATCCTATATTTGGGAAGAAATCATTCTGGTTCATTTAAAAGTATCTAACTGTGGATATAAAAGCTGAAAATGTAAAGCTCGTCATGCTCTGCTTTCTCTCCACAAATGGTGCGGTGTGGTCTTAGATTTTGAAAAGAAACAACTAAGACTCCCTGATGATAACCTATTGTCCTTCCACCCTCTTTTTATATCTCACCTTAACTCCTTTCTTGGGCACCAGGGTATAAGATTCTTCAAGCTTGTCCATTGCTTCTAAGTAGAGATTGTATCCACCAGGCACAGAGAAAGTTCCTCCTGAAATACTTTCCATCAAGGGCTCTGACAGCTGCTTAAGCTGAGCCTGGCAATATTTGCCAGATGCCTCTTCATTCTGCAGCAAGAAATGTCCCTTCTTCATCTCTATGGTTTCCTGTCAGGGAAATGTGGAGAAACCCAAAGGAAAGAGACTGTTAGAAGGGAAAGTCCAATGTGATCTTCTAGGAAGAAGCAATCTGACTTGATGGCACAGTAGGTAAATGCAGTGCTTGTCTCCTCCCAGGACCACATTAAATTTACAACTAAATTATAGAACCACCATCATTAAGAACAATCTGTAGACTAGCTGAACAGAAATCTATAACTAAAGATATAAAGAAGAAGCCACAATGAGATTGGTAGGAGGGACAGAGATGTGGAACAGGCAGGCCCATATTTATGATGTGGCAGTTAAGAATCAGAGGAATATCTCAGCTGCTGAGCTCCCCTCTGTTGAATGATGGGTCCCAGCCCACACTTGGCATCCCACTCCAAGGAACCAGTGCCTGGAAGAGGAGTTCTCACAACACATGGCTGTGAAAACCTGGAGGGATTGTGAATGAATGAGGAGGGCCTCTGGAGTCCCAGGCATTCCCCTTGAGGGGCCTGGGTAAGGACTCACTTGCTCACAAACTCACTTACTCTTACCTTGCAACCTTGCAGGGCTCCAGGGATATATAGGGAGGAACTTAATTCACTAGTGTCAGGGCTAGGGTGCAGGGGCAGCCACCATGGAAAATAGTAAGGAGACTCCTCAAAAAATTGAATGTAAAACTACTGTATGACCCAGCAATTCAACTGCTGGGTATTTATTTGAATGATTTCAGAACACTAATTTGAAAAGATATATGTACCCCTATGTTATTGCAGCATTATTTACAGTAGCCTAGATATGAAAGCAACTTGTGTCTATCAGTAGTCAATTGGATAAAGAAGTGGTACATATATACAATGGAATATTACTTGGCCATATAAAAGAATGAAATCGTGCCTTTGTGACAACATGGATGGACTGAGAGGGTATTACACTAAATGAAATAAGTCAGAGAAAAAGACACATACCATATGATTTCACTTATGTGTGGATCTAAAAAACAAACATAAAGACAAAATGGAAACAAACTTAATAGAGAACAAATTGATGTTTTCCAGATGGGAGGCAGTTTGGGGGGATGGGTGAAACAGGGGAAGGGATTAAGAAGTACAAATTACCAGTTATTTAAACAGTCACGGGGATATAAAGTACAGCATAGGGAATATAGCCAATAATACTGTAATAACTTTGTCTGGTGTTAGATGGGTACTAGACTTCTTGGGGTGATCACTCTGGAAATTATATAAACATCTAATTGCTATGTTGTATGCCTGAGACTAATATAATATTGTATGTCAATTGTAAATGAAAAATATTAAAAATAAAAGAAGCAGTGTGGTGGCATCAGGGTGGCCTGGAAATTGGAATGACTAGGCAGCATGTGGAAAACCCCTTATTTGCTCTGGCTCAGGCTCAACACATGTGAAATGATGAGGTTGGTAGACATGAACTCCACAGTGCCTTTCCCCCCAGATTGATAAATAATTAATTTATAACATTATAATAGTTTCAGGTGTACAACTTAATGAATCAATATTTGTATACATTGTGAAATGATCACCACAATAAGTCTAGTTAACTGCCCTCATCTTACATAGTAACAAACATTTTTCTTTTGATGAGACGCTGTAAGATTTACTCTAGAAATTTTCAAATATGCAACCCAGTATTATGCATGATTCCTTTATCAGTAGTAGGATTGATTGACAATGAGCAATGGAAAGTTCAATATGACTTTCCTCTGCAAACTTGGGTTGCAATAGATAAAAATAGGTACATAGCACATCAATTGCCCATTAATGAGTTAAGTGGTCTGTGAACAGAGTTTTAAACCAGTCACAAATTTTTTTCAATGAGGGTTTGGTAGTGTAAAAATATGCAAATAAAATGCACTTGCTGTACTTCCACATTTTAATGAAGCTGGTTTTCTTCTATATGAACTGAGAGATTTTTATAACCCATAAGACAGTCAAAACCAGACTCAAAGACAAACTTTCAGGGATGGTGATTTATGATGTAAGTAGAATCATCATGTCTGTTAAGTGTTCTCTCCCTTGGTATCCACTCTCTACATAGTTCCTTGGGCTTGTGGGTATGATGAATATTAATCTTGAGATTAGATTAGATTAGATTAGATTAGATTATACAGCTCAGCTTGACTTTAACTACATGAGCCCTTTAAAAGCAGTTTTCTCCATTTTGCGGGAGAGAAGGTAATCAGAGAGGTTAGAAACAATATAAGGATATGAAGCACCATTGCTGGCTTGAAGATGGAGGGGAGTGTCCCAGAACCTCCACTTGATAATGTAAGCTCATTTGAACCTTGTTTTCAGCTTGTGGGACACTGAGCAGGGCACACATATCTTGCTCTAGAATCTGACCTGAAGAACTGTGAGCTAAGGAGTGTGTGTGTTGTAAGCTGCTAATCACATGATCTTTTGTTTTGCAATAATACATAAAAAAATCTAATCTGTTAGAAAAAGCATAGAGATTAACCTATAAGGCCCTGTCACTCAAAAGAACTGGGGCTCATTCTACAATGAGAAACACAGGAAGTCTGTGGTCACAAAAAGGGAATTTAGGCATCATTTTAGGACAGTTTTGAGGAGGGATGTATGTTAAGATATCTTACCATAAGCTTCTTCTGGAACACCTGGTTTTCATCCCTGAAGGACTTCTCCATGAAGATTGCAATGGCCTCCTTCTCACAGGCTGCGTGCAGGTCCAGCAGCTCCTGGAGCGTGTCTGTGGGGAACTCCACTAGCTGGTCCATCTGCTGGCTGTAGTGCTCGGCTGCCTTCTGCACGGCCGCCGAGTTCTCAAGCTGGGCCAGAGCTGTCACCGCGTTCTCCAAACAAGGCACTCCTCCACTGTTGATGGCATCCACATAGGCCTTTGCCAGCGTGCCCAGCCCTGAATGACACATGATATTTAGGAAATTAACAGGGATTTCTCACTCATTGTTTTACAAGCTTTATAGATCAGCAATCTAAAAATCACGACAATTTTATTGAACTGAGGGTTTCTGTTTACTTCCCCCCTGTGTTCCTCCTTGCCCTCATTTTTTATTTATGAATTCATCACACTATAATATTAAAATAATAATCTCAACCAACACAATCTAGAATTTCCTAGAATAATTTTCCCATTGAAATTTTAAAATGAATTTCTTTTATAGGTAAGTAAAGTTGATAATTTGCGGACACTATTTCAAAATGAATGCTGGGCCCTTTTAAAAAAATCATCAAGAATTTCAGGGCAGTGACACAAACATTAAACCAAGCATGGGCCCGTCTCAGCACAGGGCACTGGGTGTCCTCCTAGTTGGTATATCCGTGAATCTTGCCCTGTATATAAGGCTATAGTTAAATTTGCTTCTCAAACTTCCAGTGAACTTTCAGAGGCTCATGTTCTGCTATTTATATGTATATTTTAACTGGAGTAAATTTACAAAATATGTGTGTCCTCACCAAGACACTCATCTCATTCCTACCCTTAACAGCAGCTTGTGCTTATGTCATTAGTGTATTAGTTTCATTAGGTACAATAAGCTTCAATAATCCTTCATATAGGGAAACTTCAATGGAAAAACATGCATGTCCCTGTGTGGCATGAGCCTCTGCTTTTTCTACACCACGCAGAGGAGGAAACAAAATTACCAACAAACCCAGCCTGCAATCACACACCTTGAACTGCGGAGAAACATGCTGTGACAGAGAAGACTCACCATTTCCAGTGACAATGATTTCATCTCTTATGGTCTTGGGTTTTGCATGTGTAAAGATATATTGACAGAAGTTTTTGGATTGCTCCTGGAAATTCCATTCTAGTTGGTTATCTGACACCTCCTCCATATGGTGTAATAATTTTTTGTCAGTTGTAGGCTGGTCAAAGACGAAGCACTTCCACCTGGGAAAGAACTTCCTGATACACTCTCTAGGCATGTTGGATTTCTGGATTTGGGGATCCTCGCCTATGAAAAAGAAAAAGAGCAGGGATTGGCGAGGAGGCACGGAGGTCGAAGACTTTCATTTCCAGGGATCTTTGCATCATTTTATATCTGGTGCTTGTAAATCTCCTTTTATTTAATCATGCAAATCAACCTAATGCTCATCTACCCAAAGTGCAGACATTTCATTTATTTATCCTTTTTTCCAGAGTCAGGAGTAAAGGAAGTACTTCTGGAAAAGGAGGAGGGGCATCTGTCCCAAGGGAAGAAACTGTTTGTTTTCCTTAGTTCTTCCACAGTGTCCAGTGGCTTGACTATTAGCTATTTCTGAATGATAGATTAATCTCCCAAATTGTCAGAAATACTTTTGATATTACAGTCCTCATGTGAGAAACGAAATGTGGGCTCTAAAGTGAGAGTGAATTTTTTCCTGGTAGAAATAAGGATATTTATGATACTTCTGGGAAAAGTTTTATGTGAAGAACAGACAATACTCAGAACAATAAAGAAAAACTAAAAATCAGAGTTAGAAAAGTACACACAATATAAATATGTTCAGAGATTTTTTAGCAGACACCATCAAAAAGTAAGGCTAACCTAATGCTACTTGGAGACCTCACCTGTTCTGTATATCAGATTATATTGAATGTGACAACGTTGCACAGAGGGATTCTGGGCATATATCAGCTGTTCAATAAGTGATTCTTGTGTGAATAAGTAAATGATTAAATAAGCAAAAATAAACTTGCTTCTAGGTACCACCTATTATTCTCTCTGCTAAATGTACTCTCTGAAATGAATTTATTATATCAACAGGGCAAAATATTGTATGAGGCTACAGAATGAAGAGAGTGATGTTATGAAAAACAGATAATAAAGGATTTGGCCTTCTTATTGGAAGGATATGTCAATGATTTGGAGGGGAAACATTTAGTGTATAAATATCCTTTATATGAAGAATGTAACTATGAAGGCTATTAAAGTAGACTACATAAAATATATTTCAAAAATAAAGTCATTTGATATATTTACCATCTTCCATACTAATGGGCATTTTTCTCTAAATAGAAATAGATGAGCTCTGACCTTAATAACTAACACAAATATTTCAGCCTAAGGGAATTTTAGCACTGGTTATAGTCCTCTAATTGTTTTTTCATAATGTCAATTTTTCTAAAATCATTTTGTTTGATACTGGTTTACACTTTGTCAGCCAGCTTAAATTCTGGTCACCGGAGTTTTTTCAGTAATAATAATAACTGAAACTATACCCACCTGTCATACACATATCACCATTAGTATGGGCCTCAATGAGATAAAAAATAAAGATTGACCTTAAGTGCTGAGAGACAGGGCTCAGTTAATCCCAGCTTTTACTGAACCTTTTACCACCCAGGCTGTCCTCTTATACCTGGAATCAGCTTCAAGGCATTCTCCAGGTACTCATCTTCAGAGATGGGGCGTCCGTCTAACTCCAGCTCCAGTGTGAAATCACGTACAGCCCAAACAAAGTCTGGAAAGAAACTTAAAAACTCGGCCGAGTCCTCTATGTCACCAGAGCTGGGGGAGGATTTTGTCCTGATGAGCTCTGTGAGTTCAGTCACGTAGCTGGGACCTTAGCTAAGGAATGAGAAGTGCTCCACACCAAACTTCCAGTTCTCACCCAGAAACAAGTTTCATAGACACTCCCTTCACCCTGTGGCCCTTTCTTCTCAACCACGATTATTGACACGAGGGAACAACAACAACAACAAAAACTCTCGGTTACATTCCCAGAGATCCCACGACACACGGTGGCTGGGGTCCTGGAAGGATACTGCAGCTGCTCCAGGGCCTGGTGGTCGATGGTGCTCATGCTGTTGTAGACAAACATGCTGCTCAGGAGCACGGCCAGGGCAAAGATCCACGGGTCATTCTTAGGGTCGCCCTGGAAAGGGAATCGCGGCAGGGCGCTCAGGCAGGGGTAGGCGGTGGGTGGGGAGAGATTAACCAAGGAACGTGCATGCATATAGGCACAACCCACGGACACAGGCGGTAGTGTGGTGAAGGCCTGGGGGGAGGTCAGTGGGGATAAAGCGGGGACATCTGTAATACTCTCAACAATAAAGATAAATTTAAAATTTTTTTGAATTGGAATGACAATAAAATAAAATTAAAAAACAGTACCATCTAAATCAAAGTTTTACTTTAAAAATATAAAAGTCTAATGAAAACGTGAAAGTTTTTTTATACATTTACTGTAAACTTAATATGAGAAAAAGTCTCAAAGCCAAGCTGTAAATGATGCCTGTACTCTAAGATGTGAACACAGTAACCAAAAGTTTCCGTTTAAAAATGCACTGATCGCCCGGCCGGGCGTGGCTCAGCAGTTGAGCGTCGACCTAGGGTCCAGGCGATCGGGGTTCGATTCCGGTCAGGGCACATGCCCGGGTTGCGGGCTCGATCAATGACTTTCATCATTGATGTTTCTATCTCTCTCTATCCCTCTCCTTTCCTCTCTCTGAAATCAATAAAGATATATTTTTTAAAAATGCACTGATCTTTCCCTCAACAGATACATTTTCCCAATTAATCTCTCATTTTACAATACAATCCATCACTAAAATACAAATTATACCTAAATTAATTTAATCTAGACTTACCTGGGTTTTAGTCTGTTTTTATTTGTTTGTTTGTTTGATAAATATACTAAGAGCTAATATGAAAATGTGTTTCATGGCTCAAGTCAAAATACAGTATTATGTTTCTCATCACATAAACAACAACAGCAACAACAACCTGAAGTGAGTCCGTTTAATAAGTGATACAAAACAAGTGGAACAATTATGGGAAATGAAATCTTATACTACAGAAGCTGACCTGTGCTACAGTCAGAAACCACTAAGCTTCTCTGGCCGTGCGATGTACAGATTGCACACTCTCTGAAACAGTCTTAGTAATGGGCACATACTGTCCCAAACACTAGGAACTAGGAAAGCTACTCCAGGCATTTCACCTTGAGTGACTGAGCAGGTACTTAAAAAATAAATTCATTAAAAACCTGAGAGCAGAAGAGTCTCATCATTTAAAAAGGGGAATTTTAAACTGACCGCTTGCGGGCCTGCTGACTCTGGAGGGCTTCTACCTTTCACTTTTAATTAAGCACTGAAGGAAAAAAGAGAGGCTGGCAATTTGATTGTTTTAGTCACATAAAATGCTAACTTAATGGAACCCTTAAATATCCAAAGTAATAACTGAACCACACAATGCTAGTTACAAGGTAAGACAAGGATAACAATCCAGATCTGCTGTTAAAAGTACAAGTTTAGCCCAGCCGGGCGTGGCTCTGAGGTTGAGCATCGGCCTAGGATCCAGGTGATCGGGGTTCGATTCCTGGTCAGGGCACGTGCCCGGGTTGCGGGCTGCAGCCAATCAATGACTCTCTCATCATTGATGTTCCTATCTCTCTCTCTTCCTCTCTCTGAAATCAATAAAGATATTTTTTTTTTAAAAAGTACAAGTTTATGTACAAAATGATCATAATGCCATTTTAAGTATTATCTACTTTTTCAAAAAACCGCAAGTCTTCATCACTTAGGAAAAAACAAATTTCACTTTTCTTCAAAGGGATGTCAATACTAAATATGATTAAAACATTTGAGTAAAACCTCTTATTCTTTTTTCCTCAACCTACTGAATATTTCCCAGTGTCATTTAGTAGTTTTATATAGAATATGTACTACTTGGATTACTCTGAGAAAATAGCATGGCAAATATTGCTGTTATACAATGCAAAAGCGCACTCTCATATATAAGCAAACCTGGAACACAGAAGACAGAAATATGTCAGTTAAGAGCTCCTTTAAAAACTATTCAGTATTTAGTATGCAGAGAACTGGAAAGCACACTTGAAGACTTAGTTCTTGAAGAAGTGTGATAAAAACTTATTTATCAGAAGACCTTAGTGTTAAGGAGAGCCCTTGTACTCTCTTCTACTGCTGTAGGAATAAATCAGATTTGAATTTCCCTGGGCCTACTGTTCCCTTTAATAAAACAAAACAAGAGTTTTGAGATAAAACTATAACTGACCAGTTCAGAAATAGTTACAAAAGTTGGGGGGGGGGGGGTGTTATGAATTTTACATTAAAAACAGTATCTCTTACGTTCCAAGGTTAGTAACCCGGCCAGTTTAAATCAAAGATTTTTCTCACGTAGGCCCCAGAATATGGATGACTGACTTGAGTACTGATTATACTGGGAAGTAGTGATCAAGAAATAATTTATAGGTCAAAGCTTAAGTTATGCAGGATGTCAGTGACCTTAAATCAGATCACTCGTCAACTCAAGCACTCCTTTATTGACAGCACTTTATAAATCACACCAAGAAAAAGTTCGCCTCTTTCCACCCACCCCAAATGGCAAGAGCTAACATGTTTGAAGCGTGGTCAGTGTAGCTTTTCACTTGGATGCCAGAAGCAATCATGGAAGGTGGGCTAGATCAGCACTGTCTCCATCTCCGCCTCCCTCAATGCTTTAGGACTGAGCTAATCAGTGAGCTTACCTGTAAAACTATCATGACTTAGAAATATGCTAATGAAATTCAGAGAGGCAGGACTGTTAGCCCTTGAGGGAAGAAATCTATCCACAGAACTAGTGGCTTTTTCAAAGGAAATCTCTGGTCATAGTTGATCCTAGAGACTGGTGATCACCTACGTGAGCATGGGTATGGTTACAGTCACTACTTGATACCTAGTCATGTGAAGGTTTGGCAGGACCTTAACTCAACTTGAATGTTTATTAATACAGTTGTTCAGGTACTCTTGATCTAATCTTCTCAAGTCTAAATAGGGAAATATACATGATACCTTTCAGATCCCCAATACTCGGGGAATAGCCCTGGGATCAGTCCTATATAGATGTAAGCACTAATCAAAAGTTCATTTCTATTTATCTATATAAAAAACTTAGCTATACCAATGTATTTTCTTTAAGTAGCTGTGTTTTACAAGATGTCCTTTAAAATGAGCCTACAGTCAACAAGTTTGTAATAATGCATACACAGTATATTTTGTCCATTAAAGCAATGACACAGCCAGCACACACCTTTGCCCTAAGATTCTTTTTTATTCCTCCAAATTTGATAATAATTTAGCACTATTTTTTAAAGTTTTAAAAAATTTGCTATTTTTCTATTAGGCTGACAAAATCTATCCCTTATCTTGTCCTTAGATTTCAGATTCTTCAAACTTATTTTTGAAAAAGCTTTGCGTCACTTGCTAAAATCAAATTTTCATCTCTGTGGATATAACTTCATGTTAATTGAAAAAGCCAACTTTGCAACCCAAGAGTTCAAAACCTAACACACCCACTTTTAAAAACTTCCTTCACAGATCACCATTTTACCATAGTCTTAAGAATAACTAAGACATAATTTCACAACAGCACAAATAATTAATACACCCATTATGTGAAGAAAAAAATTCTAAATGAGCGCTAGATCCGTCTCTTTTTATACCATTTTCCATAACTTCCTCTGCCCTAATCCACTTTAATGATTTTCCATATGTTTAAGGTCTGTTGGTTATGAACTGAGACCTGGCTATATTAGTATAAAATGTACCAGTCAGTCATATACTGAGAGTTCTGCTGTGATACAAATCATCAGAGTGTAAAATTTGGTATAGGAGTTGCACCTTGGACTCGTTCAAGCAAATTTATTTCCCTAAAGTAATAGAAGAACCTCATCACAAAGATCTATAACACACATGGTCTCAGAGTGCACCCCCAAGGATGGTACCAGAGCAAGGGTCCCATAAACTCGACAGACCTAAACCTGCCACCGTCTCTTAACATTTACCTGGGGGTGGGGTGGGGAATAATCCTTCCCTGTAAAAATTTTACAAGTTTAATGTAAAATTTAAAAATAATACAAATAGAAGGAAGTCTGTTTTCTTTAATGTTGTACAAGAACCTATGAGTAGAAACAAAAGCAAATTAAACATTATCACATTTGTTTACACTACTATCTAGTTCTTCATATTAGCTTTACTATTTAGTAATAGAAAGCAGGTGGCAACTTAGGGGTTGGGAAAGAGACAAAATAAAAACAAAAACAAAAAACCCAACCCTCTTCTACCATGTTTATTCTACACTGTGTAGAGCATTTCCTTCTCCACTGTGTGGGAATTCAGTTGCATATAAAATTGAACTTGCTCAAAAGCTGAGGAAAACTAGAAATAATGGGTCCGTATCCTGGTGCATTGTTAAACAATTCAAATGATGGTGCAGCTACCACCTTGTAATTTTTAGGGACTACAAACAAGGCTTTCTCTTGAATTTAACCAAAAACAACTTCTTATGTTCCTTAGGTTTGGTAATATGTGCAGGAATATATGGATACTCAGGACGCTCAAAATTTGGTCTTCAACAGTTACCAACACAGTTATCAATGACCCAGTCTTGCAGGCCTCCATCCTGATGACCCTGTATCTCTGTCATTAAGTGTTTTAGTCTTTCATTTTCATCTTCTCCTGGGTTAAGTTCGCCACCAGGTATTTTTAAGAAAGTTGTTCCAAGTTAGAGCAGTAACGCATGGGGTAGCCATTGCTCATGTACAATCAGAGCCCCTTCTACAGCCCTTTCTCATCCAATTTTATCAAATTCCTCCCTCATGGGCTGGAATCTGGCTGCAACAGAGCTGTCCTCGTAGAGGACATTATACCTTTTGTACCAAAGGTGTAATTGGTAAGATGGTCCAGGTTGATGGTGCGCTGCAAGGTGAGGGGCTTGGTCTGCTGAATGTACTTGTTGCTGACACCCCCTGTCCCCTCCTGGGCCTGTTGATCTGCCAGCAATTGGACAGCACTAGGGACACACCTGGCAAGCACTGACCACCAGCCTGAAAGGGGGAGGCCGGGAGGCTTTCCAGGTGTGGGCAGCAGTTATCTGCATCCCACTCAGCAGCCACTGCCCACCATTAACTTGAGAGCGCAAGAGGAGGCCTGTGTGGCCAGAAGTGCATTGGAGCCTCTGGAGGCAGGAGGTGGTGAGGTGGGTGTCTACTCTTCATTCACTCATTTCGTTGTTTATGCACTATGTCACCTCTACTATAACTGAATAGTAGAGTCAACACATGAACTGTGAAGCTAAATTGAAAACTCATTTTGCATATTGACCTCCCTCATGGCCTGAGTTTCTTTAGCTAGCAACAAAAGTGACCAACACTGTGAATGTGTGTCAATGTTTAACACAGTGCCTAGAACATAGAAGTATGTTATAATAATTGGGCAGTGATTTCTTTGCAAATTCTTCTCAATCACAGGCTTACACACATGCTGTTCAATTAAATCGACCAACTTCTCATTGTGCATCTAAAAATTGCCAGATATTGCATTTTCTTTTGTGCATGTAAAGTTTCATAGGGCAATTCCTGACCTCCGGAGATGACTTGCTAGAGGGGCAGATATACATGGTAACATGTAAATGCATCCAAGGTGATAAACTCTGCCAAGAGTGACACCCAATGTTATAACATAAAAGACAAAGAGGGGTGACGGGAGAAGATATGACTTTGGGTGATGGGCATACAGAACAATATACAGTTCTTGTAACATAGAAACCCACACCTGAAACCTACATGTTCATAATAACCATTGTCACCCCAATAATTTAATAAAGTGTTAATAAAAGACAAAGGGGGAATGCAAAATCCAGAAAGACTACTCTTTGTTTTCAGGGCAAGAAGCAATTATGTCTGATTGAGATACAATCCCATTAGGTTGAAAATAGCTGGGTTTTTAAAGAACTGAAAGGCAATGGAATTGTGGAGAGAGAGAGACCATGTAGGTGGAAGGACCAACAGAAGCCAATTAGAATTGTTAGAAAATGTGGCCATATAAAGATATTACAAGATTATTTTATTTCATTGAAGTGGTGGTTATCTGTGTGGTTGGCAAGACTAGATGATGATGCTGAAAACAAGATTCAGGGCAAGTCAGGAGTGGCTTTGTAACGGATACTGCTGAGATACACTAGAGTGTAAAGGCAGCAAATAGTTGTGCTTCTAACAGTTCAATTTGATATATCCTGTTTCCTTGACAAATGTGATTAGAGAAAAAGAAGGTTTATGCAAATGACAATCAATTAGACATCAGTAGATCATCTTGGGTTTACATTGAGCTGACTGTTGAGTACTTTTTAAATTCAGATTTTCTAAATTCATGCACCACCACCCCTTTTTGCAGTAAAAGATGCACTGGTGCTACTTTTAACTTAGAGTCACACTAATATATATAAGGAGAAAAGATTGAATTGTAAGTAACAGTACAAGTACAAAATACTTATATTATCCCACAATAGTGATTTTGGAGGGTCTAACTCATGTTTTTATAGATGTTAGTACAAAGTTCATCTTCAAATAATGAATATTCCTGGTGTAACTGAGGCTTTTCTAGAGATAATTTAAAAAGATTATTTTACTGTAACCCATTCTCATGGATCCTACTTCCAACCTCTTTAATCTCACACAACTTAACTAGAAGCTCCCATGGGTTATAGTTTCCTCCAGGAACAACTGGGTTAGAGTCTCAATTTTTGTATCCATTGTACCCTATCCTGATAACACTGCATATTACTTAGCTCCTCAACTAGGCTCTGGGTCTTTTCTTCATTCACTGCCCTATCTGTAGTACTTAACACAAAGCCCTGAATGCAGCATCCCTGTAAGTATTTAACTTGTAACTTTTGCCTCAGTATAAAAATAAAAACATCTATTCCTAGTCAAAGTATTGAGTTTACCAAGAAAGTAAGTTCAGTGAAACAGAAGTTAGCCTCAAAATTCACAACTGAATTTGTAGTTTAGAGAAATATGTCGTAAAAGTTAAACTGAGGTGGCAAATGAAAATGTAAGTGGAGTTTCAAGAACAAAGAATATTCTCTGCCTTACCTTTCCCACATCGCCCAGGCCCTCGGTGTCCAGAAGGACCAGAGTGTGGTTCGGCTTGGAGGGGTGAGGCACACACCACATCCAGATGCCCTTGGTTTCAGACCTCACTGTGGAGCCCAGGGGGAAACCTGCAAAGGATGAGAAGAAAGTGCTATACAGCAACAGCAGAGAGTCCAGGCTGCCCATGGGTTGCACTGGTTAAACTGTTCAGAATGTGAGTGCCTGGCTGGGAGGAAGGTTGCTTTCATTTCAGCAAGGACAGTCAATCCAACTTTTATACGCATTAAGGACTTTCTCCAAAAACACTTCGTTTCCTCTATTCATCTCACTCTATCAATAGTTCAAGCTATGCCACATTACGGAATTAACATAAATTCTATTAACCTTTTTATATATGTGTGTGTGTATACATATGTGTATAGATGTGTATAGATGTATATATATATTTTAATCCTCACCTGAAGAGGACATGTTTATTGATTTGAGAGAGAGGGAGAGGGAGAGAAATAGAGAGAGAAGACATTGACGTGAGAGAGAAACATCGATTTGCGGCCACTTGTATGCGCCCCAACCTGGGACTGAACCTGCAAGCCTAGGTACGTGCCCTCACCGGGAACTGAACCTGCGACCTTTTGGTGAGTGGGATGATGTTCCAACCAGGTGAGCCACCTGGCCGGGGCTTGACCTTTATGTTCTTTTCTGACACCGAAGAGCTCCCTTATCCTTCAGGTTCTGGTAGAATTCCATCACGAGGAGGCACCAGCAGGAGACCAGAGTTTAGGCTTGTGGTCCCCTCATTTTCTCCCGAGCGAGCCATGGTGTCCCAGTGCCTCTGTTCCTCTCCCTTGGGTCACAGCCCTTTCATTTAGCTTCATGCCGTCTCTCTGGTATTGGCCACAATCTGTTATCCACTTTTCCTTGCCTCCTCCGGCGACAGTAATCGTAGCGTCTACCTGGCCATTGCTTTTGCCACTCTGGATGCACCCTCCTCCCACACAGGCCCCTTGTGCTGTGCTTACGGCCTTGTGAACAGGCCCTCACTAGCTGCTCTTCAGGACCCCTGAGTGGGTCACCTGTGTCCTGCCAGGACCTGGACGTTACCTTAGCTTTCTTTGGATTCGTTTCCTCCCTGTAGTTTCCTCAATTATTTTCTATTCTAACAAATGATGGGTTCTTTGCTCACTGCCTCAAGTGGGGATAAAATGGAAGGAAAACAGAAAGAACCTGTGAGATATTCCAGATGCTCTTTCCAAAGGCTGAAATTAAACATACAGTGGGTGAGGGTGTGAAGGATATGCTCAGAAACCCACTGATGATATCTCTTATTCCACAGTCCAGGATTTTGACCGCCTGCCATATGCCAAAGCTTCCTTCAATAAAGCATAGAAATGAACATGATAAAATACCTATGGGAGGTTGATTCAGCATAGCTCACACCATTCAATTTCTCTGTGTTTTCCACAGAGAGCACATAAAGCCTGAGATGTCTGCATTCTTCTACACACTATAGTGTTTGGTTGCTTTCTGATTAATACAGAGTAATCTGAAGTTCCCATTACCCCAGGGAGAAAAGGTAGGGTGTAATTAAAGGTCCTTGCTCTCAGCTTTGAGACGTAAAAAACACATAAAGCAAATCCTCAATAAAGAGAGAGAGCAGTAACCTGGTTATGCTCATGGAACTTGACTGGGTGCAAATTTCTTTATGTCTTTTCTGTGATACGAGTGGGGTGGTAAAACCACAACTTTGGGATTTTGACATGTGTTTTAGTATAGAGACTTCCTCAGCTATGGGAAATCGCCTTGTTATTACCTGAAGTTATCTTAAGTAGAATTAAAAAGACATTGTTGAAACTCCTTGACTGATATCTCTCTCTTAGAGTTCTCAAACATTTAATCCCTCAAAAAACAGCCTATTAATTAATTCAGGTGACGCAAGGAAAAGTGTCCTCCCCTGATTGGTGGTCAAGAATTCCTCTAAAAGAAATACAAAGACAAAATGTTTTGTTAGAAGCCAATGGGATATTGGAAAGAAAAAAGAAGAGAAGAGGAAAGGAAGGAAAGGAAGAGAGAGAGGAAAGAGAGAGGGAGAGAGAGGGAACATGAGAGATATTCCAAGGGATCCTTGGAGTTCAGTGGTCAGGGGTTGAACCCCCTAATGGTGCTGAGTTGCTGAGCCATAGAGGAAGACATCAGAAAAAAATGGTATGCTGTCTTCATAGACAGAAATGCCTAACAGGATATAGTCAGGTTGTCCTAAAAGTCAATAAGAAACAAGAAAGTAACGTGATAGAAAAATATAACCATTTTTAGTAAGGAAGAGTGAAAGAATGCACCATGAAAATCAAAACATTGGTGAGCTCTAGTGTTGTGAGAGGGAGTGATTTGGGCTTCTGGGTGTTAGCGATGTTGTGTTTGTTTGTTTTTTATCTTGGCAGTGATTATNCACTGATGATATCTCTTATTCCACAGTCCAGGATTTTGACCGCCTGCCATATGCCAAAGCTTCCTTCAATAAAGCATAGAAATGAACATGATAAAATACCTATGGGAGGTTGATTCAGCATAGCTCACACCATTCAATTTCTCTGTGTTTTCCACAGAGAGCACATAAAGCCTGAGATGTCTGCATTCTTCTACACACTATAGTGTTTGGTTGCTTTCTGATTAATACAGAGTAATCTGAAGTTCCCATTACCCCAGGGAGAAAAGGTAGGGTGTAATTAAAGGTCCTTGCTCTCAGCTTTGAGACGTAAAAAACACATAAAGCAAATCCTCAATAAAGAGAGAGAGCAGTAACCTGGTTATGCTCATGGAACTTGACTGGGTGCAAATTTCTTTATGTCTTTTCTGTGATACGAGTGGGGTGGTAAAACCACAACTTTGGGATTTTGACATGTGTTTTAGTATAGAGACTTCCTCAGCTATGGGAAATCGCCTTGTTATTACCTGAAGTTATCTTAAGTAGAATTAAAAAGACATTGTTGAAACTCCTTGACTGATATCTCTCTCTTAGAGTTCTCAAACATTTAATCCCTCAAAAAACAGCCTATTAATTAATTCAGGTGACGCAAGGAAAAGTGTCCTCCCCTGATTGGTGGTCAAGAATTCCTCTAAAAGAAATACAAAGACAAAATGTTTTGTTAGAAGCCAATGGGATATTGGAAAGAAAAAAGAAGAGAAGAGGAAAGGAAGGAAAGGAAGAGAGAGAGGAAAGAGAGAGGGAGAGAGAGGGAACATGAGAGATATTCCAAGGGATCCTTGGAGTTCAGTGGTCAGGGGTTGAACCCCCTAATGGTGCTGAGTTGCTGAGCCATAGAGGAAGACATCAGAAAAAAATGGTATGCTGTCTTCATAGACAGAAATGCCTAACAGGATATAGTCAGGTTGTCCTAAAAGTCAATAAGAAACAAGAAAGTAACGTGATAGAAAAATATAACCATTTTTAGTAAGGAAGAGTGAAAGAATGCACCATGAAAATCAAAACATTGGTGAGCTCTAGTGTTGTGAGAGGGAGTGATTTGGGCTTCTGGGTGTTAGCGATGTTGTGTTTGTTTGTTTTTTATCTTGGCAGTGATTATATAGATGATCACTTTATATTTATTAATATTATTGTATACGTATGTATATGTACTTTTCAATATTTGTTATAGTTCACATATTAAAAACACAAAAGAGTGAGAGAGAGAGCAGGAAGGAGAAGGAGATATAATTCATTAAAGTTTGGCTATGAAATGAAGCAAACAATTGGATGGTAGCCCCATTGAAATATGGGATATACAGAATATACTGTTGTTTGTTCTACCTTTTATCCTTTTAAAAAACAGCAAATATTGAACAATATTTGTATGCTATGAAATTACTCCATAGTTTAGAGCAGAAGTGATGTAGGAGAAAGGAAGGGAATAATTTCTGGAGCTGAGCTCCCCAGTAGATGACTAATGGGGTGGATCTTTGATGGGGCTGGGGAAACCCCTTATTATTGGACAAAAGAGTGAGAGTTTGTGGACAGATGAGGTTGAAATTATAAATTTGGCAATGAGAATTAAAAGTTTTCTTCCCTGGGAGGAGTTAGGCTCTTCCTTAAGGTGACCTTGAAAGAGGTGTGATCAGCCTGTATTATCACTCTTTTTAAGCAAATGGCCCCTGACCCCCAATAACACTCACCATGGTTCTGTCCTGCCAGGCGGTTCATCAGGTAGGACTTTCCTGTCCGATACAGTCCTGCGATGGCCACCACCACCACAGGCTGCGAGATGTTGTCGAGAATCTCCAGTGCTGTTAGATTTACTGTCAGCTGATTTTTCTGGTTTTCCACCAGACAAATGGGGTCCATCATGGTGTATTCAGAGGCCATGGTGAGCTGTAACCCAGAGAAACAACTCAGTAGAATACAAGACCCCGAAGTCCTATCTAATGGTTACAGGCGTCATTTACATTTACGTATCAGCTTTGTGCTCCTGGAGCTCAAATATCAGTTTCCTACATTTGGTATGTTTCTAAAAGATAAGTATTTAGCCTAGTGTGTCAAGGCCTGGTGCAGATTCCTTATGTACACTATCGTATTGGTCCAGAGATAAACCCTAAAACAACTCCCTCCAAGTGATGCATGAAAGGAGTAGAACGAAAAAAACCAAACACTGACGATGGAGCCTTGGGAACAGCAACATATTGGAGGGAAGCAGAGGCAGAAAGGCACATGCTGGAGGCAAGGACTGACCACAGACCATATCTCACATCCAGAATGATTTGGTTTCTCATTGACTGCGTGTATTTTCTGAGTACCTACTATGTGCTGGGCACTGTTCTAAGTGCTTGGTATCAATTGGTGACCAAAATGGATACCAACTGCTGCCTCGTGGAGCTCTGCTCTAGCAGGAGGAGACAGACAATACAGAAAGCTAATGAGCAACACGCAGGTGTATATTAGATGATGGAAAGTGCTCAGGAGAAAATAAGGAGGAACTGGGACAGGGAACGTGGGGCTGGATTTATATAAGGGGTGGTCAGGGAAGGCCTCTCAGAGAAAGGGAAATAAATGTGACCTGCGGCCTTGATGAGGACAGGTTTAGTGAATGGTGGGAGCAAGAGCAGTTGGAGGAGGGGAGACTTTGAAAGGGAGAAGAGATAAAGAATGAAGCCCCCTCTCAAAACACAATAGGACAAATCTTTACAGGACCCGGATAAAGTTATTTGTGCAGGAATTCATTTAACTGGAACCAAAGAAAATGAGTTCCCATTTTTAAGCTGACAGGGAAGAGAGGCTGGAGCCAGGGTGTTTTAGGGTGTACCCAGATCCACCCGGGGCCCACAGCTGGGTGAGGCCCTACTTTACAGTTTTCATCACGGTGGGTATAAACAGGAGGAACTACAGGGTTTATTTCTTGGACTGAATATTTAAAATTTGGGGTAGGAATAGATGAATTAACAAACAATTTTTTTAAATGGAAGAAAACTGAAATACTCAATCCAAAAATCTGTTAAGTTCAAATAAGCAAGTAAAATGAAATAGTTCTTTTGCATGTAGTTAAATGGTTTCCAAAGTTTACTCTTGAGGAGAGTCAGTCATATGAAGTGAAGGTGAAAACGACCCCAAGCCTTGACTTCTCAGCAAAGATGACAGGGTATTCTGATACAGTTCTTGCATGGGCCACATGCTACAAACAATGCATGACAAACAAACACTATTAGATCTTTTAGTCATTTTTAACACTTGATCAGTAAGCATGAGAATGAATTATTCTAACACAGCTTTGTACTATCTTTGGAATATTAACTATTATTAATACAAAAATAATCTCAGTCAATTTTTTAGGATTTAAATTGTCTGAAAATTAAGAACCACCTTTTCTCTCAGTTTCTCCAATGCCTGGAGGTGAGGTGGTGGTGGTAGCGGTGGTGCAGGGACAGTCTGAGGAAGGACAGGGGGATGGAGGGGAAAGAGGCTCCACCAGGCGCCTCTGCAAGCGGACGGGGTTTACTCCATCAGTCCCAGGAAAGGCTTAGCTCCTCTTTGCATTTGAGGCAGGATGCATTCCCCCTCCTCCCTCGCTTCGGTAATTTTTTTCACTTATTCTTTTCTCTTTTCTTCTGTGTGACCCTGGGTGGGTGCCAGAGGAGCAGCTCATCCTAGTGATAAGGAGAGTGTACGTTGGTCCCCTCACAGAGGCCTGGGTCCCGAACAGAGAAGCTGAGCTGCTGGGAGCCAGGCCACGCACTAGCCTCCCGGCTGGCACCCTGCGGGCCGGTGCCAAGCCTGCGCTTCCAGTGCGGGGTGTGCATTTAGCACGTGTGGTCGCTGTTGGTGTTAGGGAACATGGGCATGGAAGACCAAGTCTAGGGGCGAACTTACGTGTCTCCGGCGCTGCAGACAGGGACAAGTTCTCAGCTCTCCTAGCTCTTCCCTGGCTCGCTCTTCCTCCTGCGTCTGGCTCCTCTGGATACCAAGTGTTGTCTTTAGAAGCTGAAAATCCTGCCAGATATCACAGCCAAGCAGTTATGGGTCTGGTTGATAAGAGCCCACATTGAAAGGACACGCTCTTCTTAGAGAACTGAGTCACTGGGTCGCTCCTCTGCCCCCACCCTCCTCTTATCTTTAACTGAGGCAGGAGAGCAGGTGAGGTAGGAGGCGAGTCTTGGCTCCTCCACACCTGCCTTGGGAATCCCAGGTTGGGCCCTCCTCGGGTGGCTTGTGTTCCCTGAACCCACAGGGAAGAGAGGGTGGCCGGCTGACTGTGAGCCAAGGGACAGGAGGGGTCCTTTTGTGAGGAAAGGGGCTTGTTTATTAATCTCTTTTCCTTAATTTTTTTTCACTTGTTCAATTTTTTCTCTCTCCTTTTTGAAAGAGTATTTTGCGTTTAACGTGATGATTTTCATTAGCAAAACAAACAAAAAACCAAACAACTACAGTGTGTGTGTATACAATGCTTGATTTTATAACCCAGACAAATTCCCTGTTCTTTTGTTGCATATAGTTGTTTCTTGCTTATACAGGATGGATCTAGATTTGGTGGGGGAGGGGGTGAGAGTCTGCTTGAAATAAAGCAAAAGAAAAATACAAATTCAAAAACAAATATTCAAAATGACCAAAACCTTGTACCAATATTTTTAAAAAGCTAACAACAAATGCTACAAATGTTTTGTCTCATCGGTTTGTTTCCTTTCTGTTAAGCTACCCCTATCATATTTGAATTCCAATGTGAGCTAAAATGCTGACAGCTATATTTTAGCTGCATCCTAGGAAAATTTTAATTCACTTTTTTTTAAAAGCATTCCAGCCCGGCCGGGCATGGCTCAGCGGTTGAGCATCAGCCTAGGATCCAGGAGATAGAGGTTTGATTCCTGGACAGGGCACATGCCCGGGTTGCGGGCTCGATCCCCAATGACTCTCTCATCACTGGTGTTTCTATCTCTCTCTCCCTCTGCTGCCCTCTCTCTGAAATCAATAAAGATATATATATATATAAAAAAAAAAATTTAAAAAAAAGCATTCCATTGTACTGAACTACAGAACAAAAACTGTATCAGCTCTTTTAGTTTCAATTCCATTTTAGCCAATATATTTCTGTGAAATGGGCTCTTTGATAACAGTGGTAAATTAAAAAAACAGATTGTAGAGACAATTTTTACAACACTAACAAAAATTGATTTCCATTATATCACATAAAGGAGGAGACTTAAATAAAATAAAATGTCAGAAAATGAAATTTCTTTTTGAAAAATTTGAATCCCCCTTTTCCCTTGGATATGTGACCTGATACTACCAATCACATTTTCATCAGAATGTTGTCTTCGATATGAGTTTATATTTTAAATGTTAAAATGGACTCTGCAAAAGATTACAGTGAAATTAGATGATCAATTTTTAATTTAATTTTATTACTTATTTATTCTTGTCTGTTGTCCATTTTAAAAGATTTTTAATTGAATTTATTGAGGTGACACTGGTTGATAAAATTATATAGGTTTCAAATGCAACAATCCTATAATACATCATCGTATATTGTACTGTGTGTTCACCACCCGAAGTCAAGTCTCCTTCCATCACCATTTATTCATCCTTTGCCATCTTCTTCCTGCTCCCACACCCATTTTCCTCTGGGAATCATCATACTGTAGTCTGTGTCTATGAGGGGTTTTGTTTGTTTGTTTTGTTTTGCTTTTTCACTTCACCTTTTTCACCCAACCCCACTCCCCACTCCCCTCTGACAGCTGTCAGTCTGTTCTCTGTATCTATAGTCTGTTTCGATTTTGTTTGGTTGGTTATTTTGTTCATTAGATTCCACGTATAAGTGAAATCATTTGGTGCTTGCTTTTCTCTGACTGGCTTATTTCACTTAGCATAATACTCTCCGGGTCCATCCATGATGTCACAAAAGGTAAGATTTCTTTCTTTTTGAAGGCCAAGTCGTATTCCATTGTATAATATACCACAGCTTTTTTATCCACTCTTCTACTGACGAACATTTGGATACTTCCAAATCTTGGCTTTTGTAAATAGCACTGCCGTGAACACAGGGGTACATATATTCTCAGTGCATGAGGGCTCCCTTTTCACCACAATCTCATCAACACTTGTTTTTGCTTAATTTATTGATGACAACCATTCCGAGGTGTGAGGTGATAACTCACTGTGGTTTTAATTTACATTTCTCTGATGATTAATGACATTGGGCATATTTTCATATATCTATTGACCATCTGAATCTCCTCTGGAGAAGTGTCTATTCAGGTTCTTTGCCCACTGTTTTTATGTTGTTGAGTTGTAAATGTTCTTTATAAAATTTGGATAGTAACCCTTTATCAGATGTATCATTGTTGAATATGCTCTCCCATTCAGTGTACTGTCTTTTAATTTTGTTGATGGTTTCCTTTACTGTGCAAAATTTGTTTAGTTTTATATAGTCCCATTTGTTTATTTTTTTCTTTTTTCCCCCTTGTCCAAGGAGACATATCTAAAAAATATTGCTATAAGAAATGTCAGAGATTTTACTGCCCATGTTTTCTTTTAGGATTTTTATGGTTTTGAGTCTTACATTTAAGTCTACAATCTATTTTGTTTATTCTTGTATATGGTAGAAGAAGGTGGTCTAGTTTCATTTTTTTGCATGTATCTGTCTAATTTTTCTAATAACACTTATTGAATAGACAGTCTTTACCCCACTGCTTTATATATTTATATGATCCTATATTGGGTACATATATGTTTACAAGGGTTTCATCCCTTTGTTGGATCGATTCTTTTAACATTACATAATGTCCTTTTTTGTCTCTTTTATGGCCTTTGTTTTGAAGTCTATTTTGTTTGATCAAGTATTGCTACCCCAGGTTGGTTTTGTTTTTTTTTTCATGAGTTCCTGCTTGGGAGAAGTGCAATTAGGCAGTCAATGGGGTGAAAATGGCCCCTACTCCAGAGCCATACCACTCAAGTCTCTTCTGAGTCTCCTACCCAGGCTGCTCTAGCAGGGTGCACTGAAGGTTCAGGTTGGGTGCAGCCAGCTGGCCTCTCTGCAGGAGAGAGCTCAGCAGGGTGATGCCCCCAGGGTGTTGCCACCGGGAGATGGAAGGGCAGGTCAAGTGAGTCTTTCGTTGTGGGAGTGGTGCGGGCTGCACTGGCAAGGGCTGAAGAAAAGAATGCCACCCCCCTCCACAACTGGAGCCAAATAACCCAGCGACCATCTGAGTCCCCAGCAAGAGCCTTTTAGGGAGAAGTGCTCTGAAGGTCCCAGTTCTGCCCAGCACTCCAATTGCTTTGTGGGACTGAGCCCAGAAGGGCAGTGTCTTTGGGAGTCAGAGGACAGGTCAAATAGGTCTCCAGTTGGAGGGGGGCTATAGCTGATTATGCAAGGTGGTAGGCATCATGTTCAATGGGAAATTGATCTTCATAACAAAAGGATAGTTTTGTTTCAACTGTGAGACAAAGGTGGTGACGTCATTGCTGGGTAATTGTCAAGGCAGAGAAGAATGAAGAACCCAGAGCACATGGAGTGTCCCGTGCCTCAGAGAGAACAGGGCAGCAGGTTCAGACGGGTGTGCATATTCTTTCTGCCTCAGCAAGTCCCTACTGCACTAGTTCCTAGAACTGTGTCCTTTATTTTGAGGACTTGGAGAGCAGTTGATATAGTAAGAAAATGCTAGTTGGGGCCTTGTTGGATGGCAGCTTACAGACTCACCCCTAATTTTTGAACACCTGGTGTGCACAGAGTGGCCTTTGTGATGGGAGCCAAATACACGAAGATGAAGATCAGCAAGTAGATGAGGTCATGAGGCAGTAATGGAGACAGCTGTAAACAGGTCATTTTAATTTCATAATTATATAAAAGTGCTGTGGTAGCAGGGACATCACAGCACAATACCAGCCCAAGGAAGGAACCTTATGCAGTCTCTGGAAATCAGGAAATGGCAAAGGGTAAGGAGGAACAGAAACTTGCAAATAACGGGTACAGGGTGAGCCCCCGAGTGTTTAAGGAAATCTGTGTGCAAACGTCCAGAGTCAAGAGAATACGTACAGCGTGTGGAGATACAAGCAGTTCATTTGAACCTCAACAGTCTTAAGCCCTACACTGCTGAAAAGAATTCTTAAAATGTTGAGCTGATCCTGAATAATTTTTTCTTCTAATTCACTACTTTTATAAATGTGGGGCAGGAATTTGGAGACCATTCCAGTTGACATCCCAGTAGACTTTATATCCAAACAGAAATTAGAAATTCCAAGACCTTATTGAGAGGCCCAAAGGGCAACAAAATTAAGACACATATCTTCTAATTTCTGTTTCCAGCCGTAAAAAGAAGACTCATTCTGTTGAGCTGACTTATGGTCTTTCTAGCAGTGTTAAAGACTCTGATTTTGTCATGAGAACTTTGTGTTTCCATGTATTTTTATTTTAGTTTCAATTTTGTAATTGTACTTATTTATATTTTAGTAATAATACATACAAGATATAAAAGATACGGAAAATATGTAAGACTAGTTATCCTTTCATATCTTACGTCAGCTATGCACGTTCATTCCTGTTGGTCCATGGATACTGTTTTGCTTTATATTTTTCCAGATAGATAATCATAAATGCACATAGTCATTATTTGCTAAATTTGGTGGTACCACCATACACACATCCTGCATCTTTTTTTCACATAAGATAAATCTGTAAGTTTCTTCACGTTAGTACACACAGAGCCCCCCTTTCATTTTAGTGACTTTTGAGTATTCCTCCTTTGTAAGCATGTCTTAAGACTTAAAGTTGTTTTCAGTCTTTTGGAGTGATAGCCATCCTGCCACAAATGTACTACTACTATGTCATTTTCAACTGGGATAAATAAATCTTAAGGTTAGTTCCTGAATGTGGACTTGCTGAATCAATAGCAGTCCTCTTCTCAACCACAGCAACCAAGTTACAGGAAAGAAAACATGGCCTCGGTTGCCATATCTACAAACTCAGTAAGTACTCATTTAATTGTGTCATTAACCCTAGTGTTAAAAATAAGATGAAACTCTTGCCTTAAAGTATCAAAATATTTGTGCTCTCAGGAAATAAGTTCAAGGGAAGAGCACTTAACTTCATCTACAACTTGCATTTGCTATTTGCTAGAATATTTCACACAAATTGAATGAAGATGGTGAATTAAAAAGCGAGGGAAAAGATTTCTCAACATGCTGCCTTATCTTTTTCACACCCTCCAGTCCTTAGTGTACAGAAAGGCCTGGGTATGGTTCAGCTTAGAGGGGTGGGATACATACCACATCTAGATCCCCTCAATTTTAGATCTCACCATGGAGCACAGACAAAAACCTGCTAGGGAGAAGTAAACAACATCCAGTGACAATGAGTAGTCCAGTCTGCCCAGGAGCGACATGATTAAACTGGAAAGAAGGTAAGGGTCCAGCAGGGGAAGGGCTGCTTCCATTTTAGCAAGGCCAGTCAGTCCAATCTTTACACATATGAAAGACTTTCTCAAGAAACACTTTGCGTCCCCCATTCACCTATTATTTTTATAGGCTCAAATAAGTTGCATTACAGATTAATGTAAACTCTATTAACTTGTGTATTTTTATCTCAAGAGGAAATAAAAAGCACACATTCATAAGTAGAATTAGAGAGAGGGCTGAGACAAGAACTCTGTTTTTCTGGTCCATCTTCATGTCGCACCTCCTTTCCTTTATTTGGGTCATTTTTCAGAGAAAGTCACCTAAAGGGAGAAGGCACTGCCCTGGGAAAGACAGCACTGAGCTGCCGCTCTAGGCCAGCTCTGTTGAAACAGTCTCTTAATAGAGGAGGACTGAGGACTGAGTCTTGAAGTGTAGTTATGTAATCCATAATGGGAGGCTCTGAGCGTCTCATTAAGTAGACAGGACCCATACTTCACAAGTGGTGCGACTACTTGAAAGATATTTAATCTTTCTGTGACTCAGTGTTGTTTTTGTCCATCTGTGAAATGGAAATTCTTATAGTAATTAAATAATAGGGTCAGCAAGAGAATGAAATATCCCATAATCTATATAAAGCTCTTTGGTACTAGTAAATGCTATATAAGTATTATTTAAGAAATAGATACCTAAGGAGATAAGGAGGGTGAAATTTCAAAAGAAGATAAAGAATTGTCTTTGGTAAATGGTGACAATTCTCTCCCAGGAGTGAAAGGTGGTGTGAAGGCAAGAAGTATGACTGCAACCGAATTGTCCCATGAAAAAGAACAGCAGGCAGAAGCAGAAGAGCAGGGTCCACTGGTGGGGAGGGAGGGCACTAAAGAGGATGAGTCAGCAAAAGGAACCCAGAGACATCCTGAGATGTCACAGTACAGACTGAGGAGTCAGGCTGCTATGGTTCACAACTAGGATTCTCCTCATCTATTGCCCATGAGACCTTGAAAAAGAAACTTACACTGTAAACCTCAAATTTCTCTTCCATAACTTTTGCTTAATTCATTACAAGTTAATAATAAAAAGACTCTCAATATATTATTTTTAATTTCCCACAGTTAATGTACTGTTTCTACAATAAGCCCATGAAGTCATGAAGTATTGAAGCAATTAGTTCTGTGGCAATAGGTTCTATAAAATGGAAATTGCCAAGTAACACTAGAATAACTGAAATTTTTCTTTTGTGAGTGCCGGAGCCCGCCGGCAAAGTCGAACGGTCCTGAGGAAGGGGTGAGGATTAAGAAAAGACAGACACAAAAGAGATGGGATCGGGAGGGCTGCAGTTTGTGATTGCAGCCCCGAGTTTATTTTCCCAGCTCAATTTATACAGACACTGTTGATTTTGCTGAATAGCACCCCGCCCCGCATTCCTTCAAGGGCGCATGAATGCTCTTTCAGAGTAAACACCCTGCCACCTGCATGAGCTCGGACCTTGGTAACTATGTTTATCTCAGCTTCTAATGGGAACTTTTGGGGAGGATTGAGTCCTTGGTTGGTATGTGGCTTGACTGTCCCTTGACCCTTCAGGCCGGGGCCAACTTCCTGATAAGCCTTTCTGGAATTTCTGGCCGCAAGCTAAATTAGTATCGCCTTGATGCCTCAAGGTCTGGGTCAGGGAGCAGGAGAGCACATCTGCAGCTCACCCAGGCAGCTCCTCCGTGCAAGGAGCAGATCCTGGAGCCACAGCAGCTCCCCACATGTGAGGAAAAAAACCACATCAATTTGATTCTTAACAGACTTCCTCTGTCTAGTTTCTCTTCTTTTCTATAGGTGGTTGGAAGAAGAGATCGGAGATAAAACACGAGCCTTTTACTGCTATGTTATGAGCAAGAAGGGATGTAGAGTTCTTAGAGTTAGTATTTCAAAAGGCTTGGGGAGAAGTAAATAATCTTACAAAGTAATTTTTAAAAATTTAAATTCAGCCCAGCCAGCATGGCTCAGCAGTTGAGCATCGACCTAGGATCTAGAAGATCGATGTTGGATTCCTGGTCAGGGCACATGCCCGGGTTGTGGGTTGGATCCCCAGTCAGGGGCGTGCAGGAGGGGGACTCTCTCATCATTGATGTTTCTATCTCTCTCTTTCCCTCTCCTTTCCTCTCTCTGAAATCAATAAAGATATATTAAAAAAAAAAAATGCAGAGTAAGACTGAGGTAGCCAATCCACNCTTTCCTCTCTCTGAAATCAATAAAGATATATTAAAAAAAAAAAAATGCAGAGTAAGACTGAGGTAGCCAATCCAAGACACTTTTACCTCCAAATAAACAAATAGAATGAAACAATGCTATTAGGTTGGGATAAATGATCAACATTTCCAAAGTTACTGTCCACAAGAGTCATTTGGGGTGATGGTTAAATATGTCCCAAACCCGTATTTTTTAGTAAGTACTGCAGGTTATTATTTGTGGGCGAACCATGCATTTAGAAATGGTGCATGATGAACAAACTATATAGTTAGACCACAATGCTGTTTTTAACAGCTGACTAACAGGTTAGAAGAGTGTCACTGAATTATTCTATATAATACAGCTTCCTAGGATCTTTGGAATACTGGATGTGATGAATACAAAAATAATCAGTAGTCCAGATTCTACATTTAAATTGCCCCTAATGTAAAGGTTTATCTTGTCCCTCTGTCTTTCCAGTGCCTGGCAGGGCGCAGTCAGGGGATGTCTGAGGAGAGGCGAGGAAGGTGAAAGGAAAGGCCTCACCCAACACGCCTGCGGGAGCGCCAGGTTGGGTCCCTCGGTCCCCGCAAGGGCTTCAGCCCCATCCCGCCTGCGAAGTGGGGCGCGTTCCTCCTTCTCTTGTGCAGGGTGCTTTGTGCAGCCCTGGGTGGGTCCCTGAAGAGGAGAACCGCATCCCTCATCCTGCATCCCGCATCCCGCATCCCACATCCCGGGGACTGGGTTTGTGCTCTGTAGCCTCAAAGGCGCCTCCAACCCAAACTGAGGCTCCTCGGTACCCCACGGGCCACGCGCCCCTGGGCCCCCCGCGCCCGCCGCCAGCTGCCTTCACCACTTGCCAGTGTCTGCCTTGGGCACATGTCAGTTAGTTAGTTAGTTAGTTAGTTGGTTGGTTGGTTAGTTGGTTGGTTGGTTGGTTAGTTGGTCGGCTAGTTGGTTCATGGACTTGTGCATGAAGACCAAATGTAGGACAGAATTTACGTGGCGAGGGAGCCGCAGCCAGAGGACAAGTTTCCATCAGCTGCCCTCCGCGTCCCCCGAGCGCGCCTCCAGCACCTGGCTCCTGCGCGTGCCAGCTGTTGTCTTCAGAAGCTGAAACCCGTGACCGCTTTCCAAGCAGTGAGGAGCGGGAATGAGGAAATCCGAAACTGAAAGGTGACAAGCCTTTTTCTCTGCGGCTTGAACGGTTGGAGTTCTCAGCCGCTCTTCACCGAGGCTGCAGGAGCAAGTCTGTGGGGTGAGGGCGGCGAGCGCGCGGTGGCTCTGCGCGGGCTCTGAAAGCGGGAGGCCGCCTCCCGGCCGCTTAGTTCCCTTCCCCCTCAGTGTTTGGGGTTTGCTTGTTTGTTTGTTTGTTTGTATAGGTTTGCGGTAGGGTGTGTGCTTTTTTCTTTTTTTGAAAATTTTACTTACTCATTTCTTATTTCCCTTTTCTCTGCCCACAGCTTTCTTAAAAAAAAAAATCCTGTAAACATGAGTACTCTTTTCATAACAATAAAAATACATACATCTACTGCAGATATAAAACTCCTAATGTAATAGTTCAGAAATAATCACTATAATTTTGTTGTATAGTCTTCCTGATCTTTTCCTCTACTTATTCTAAGGCATATCTGGATTTTGATATTGCGAGGCTTATATAACTTAGGATTCTGCTTTAAATAAAATGACTGCCAGGGGTGGCATTCAGCATATGACCACTTGGCAGGAATGATGTCCACTTAAGCTCAAGACTTTAATCAAGCCCCATTTGACCACACCCCTTAGGGCACTTCCAATCCCCCCTGAGAAAATTAGGGGTTGGCATTGAGGTACAAAGGAAAGTTTCCCTGAAAGAACCAGCCCAATATCTCTACCAAATAAATGCAGCAATCAAATGCCCTTTATTATACAATTCATGATCTTTTTAAGGAAGTAATTAATCATCAGTTAAACTGTTGAAATGCACATTTTACCAATTATGTGAGCATCATAACTTTATAACAATACAAAAGTTTGATATAATTATTGTAAACTTTATTTAAACAGTAATCATCCCAAGTTTTATAGTTTCGTATTTCTTTCTATCTTCAGGGAAAGTGAACATGAAAAGAAGTTCTGATGTTTAGCGTTAGAGTAAGATGCATGAATCGTCTCGCTGCTGTGCATTGAGCTCCCTCTGGAGTCTTCTCTTTTCAGCTTCGGCTCTCTCCCTCCGCTGTGCAGCCTCTTCCTGAAGAGTGATAAATAAAACTAAAGAGCTTAACAAAAGGTAATATCTACATCACTGGAGAGGTGGGGAAGATAAGCCAAAATCATTGACTTTCCTCACTTATTTGAAGCCATCAGAAACGAAAGACAGTCCCTAAATTTTCCTTTCTATTGTCCACTTTACCTCTCATTTTTGGTTTCCTACCTGAGCCATTCTTCCATATCTCTTTCTCTAGCAGCAGCATCATCAACATCTCTCAATTCCTGAAGTATTGGCGTCTCAAGAATTGCATCCCGTGGTCCCTTCCTCCTTGGGCATCCTGAGCCACATCTTGACTTCAATTTTCATTTATACACAGAGGAATGGCGGATCTAGTTCTTCGAGGAGAGGCTAATACAACTGCTGGGTGTCTAGGTGACATCCACAGTCAGGTGAGGGGTCTGATCAGGGAATTTGTTTCAGGTCTCCACAGTTATGGGGCAGAAGTAGAGGAAAGAGTGAAGAGATCAAGAACCCCAGTTTGACCACACTGCCCTTCAGTGTAGATCTGTAATCACAGAAATGTCCTAGAGCATCACCTTGAAAACTAGGACCTACAGGTAGACTGGTCACCCTAGGGGAGGTGCTCACATAAGAATTTCATACTAGGTTTGCAGTAATAAAAGCACTGCAGTTCTCACTCACTGGGAAGGCAGTTTTGATAACTTGCGAGGCTGGGTGATATTAGCATTTAGTTATCTCTTTGGAACCTAATGTTTTTAATCAGAAAAATGAATCCATAATCATTCTGCTTCACAATGAACAGATTAGATGAGAGAATGCATATAAAGTACTTTGTACAGTACTTGGTAAGTAGGAACCACTGCTATTGAGTGATGATGATAATAAAGGACTGGATGAAAGAACCTTCGAGTTAAAAGCAATATGAAGTTAATTTAACAAGGTTACCTATGACTAAAGGAAAAGACTGCTTATAGCAATTAAGAACATAACAAAAAAGACTAACTTCTGTGAGTTAGAAGTGTCCTTGGGTTTTATTTAACAAAGTATAGTGCTTGTTCTGTACTCAGCACCAATCTAAACACAAATATTAACTCATTTAATTACCCTATAAATAGGTATTATTATCTCCATTTTCCACAAGTGGAAACTAAGTCACAGAAGGGACAGATAACTTGCCCAAACTATATATTTAGTAAGATGTGGGCCTGGGATTCTCACCAGGCTGTCTGACTCCAGAGTCCTTACCCTGAGCCATAATACTATGCTTCTCCCTCTTTGTTCCTGCTCCCTGCTGTTATCAATACAAAATTCTGAGATGAAATAATGAGCGAGTACCTGGAGCTGATGTTCCAAATCCCTCTGTTGCTGTGCCAGATACCGGGCTCCCTCTATTTCCATTTTCCTCCGATGCTGTTTCTCCATTTGTCTCAATAGCGTCTGATGTTCTCTCTCCCTCTCCTCCATGATCCGCTGGTTCCACCTCTGAATCAGCAGCAACATTTGTGCTACAGCGTTCGCAGCCTGTTCTTTCAAATGTACTTCTGAGAAAGAAGGAAAGGACAAACCTCTCTAAGATTCAAGCGTCTCCTCCTTCTGTCTCCCCCTCCTATTGGTGCTGCTGCTTCCTAGAGGAAATTCCCTAGGGCCATTTTTCCTTTCCAGCTGACAGTGCACGCCCTACTCAGGTAAAGCTTGAAGAGCTGAAAGTCATCCTGGCCGTTCTTGCTCTAGTTTAAAGGCCCCATGTAAACCAGCCCAAATTAGTTGAAAATGTGCAGGAAGTTCTATCTTTCATCTCTCCCACTTTCCTCTCACCTTCCATCTCCCTTTTCCTTGCGGTGAGAGCCTGGTCTACGTGTAGAATGGCATCACTCACAGACTCCTTGGACTGTAAATATTTTTGCAGAGCTTCTTCAGTCTAGGAACCCCAAAATCATGCAGTTAGAAGTAGGAACCGGAGATTGGGCATGTTGTAAAGCTTTTTATTTCTTTTTCTTCACAGCATCCTTTCCTCTCCAGAACTGCTCAGCCTGCACTTAGTGGAACTGTCAATCAAGCCCCTTCTGTCACAGGGATGGGCACAAACTCTGGGCAGGCTAATCAGAGCACCCAAGTTCACGTGATACAAAAGATTTTGGTTCAGGTGAGAAAATGCTCAACTTGAGTGTTTTAAAGACTGATACAGATACTGGGGGAAAAGGCTCTCTCTTCCCCTGAGGCTGAGGGCAAGAGATGTAGTTAAGCTTGGAGATGCTGGCGAAGTCTTTGCTGTCATGCCTGAGAATGAAGCCAATGGCGAAGAAAACAGAACAGAAAACTAAGTGGGAGTTGGAAAGAAAAAGAAGGGGAAAATTGATGACATTGTTTAAATTTCTGAATGTAGCTGCATTTGCAACTAAATTTAAATCTTTCCTGTAAACCAATGAACTACCGTTTCTTCTTAAGTTAGTGTCAAGTAGTGGAATTCTGTCCTATGTAATCAAGAGTCCCTGTGTTGCAATGAATGTTGGTGGTTGCAGTAAAAGTCTGGTGATTATGGCGATAGCTGAGTTTAATTCCACAGCTATCTTTAGAGTACAAATACTTTCTTCCTATCTTCACTGGATTTTGAAAGAAGCCCTCCTTCATCCTCTAACAATGTCCCACAATTAATATATGAAACTAGGGATACCTGTATTCCTTTCCTGGGCTCCCGGTAGTACTTTGCCGTCAGCTCTTCTGTCTTCTGAATGAAGAGGCGATGCCCCCCTGGCTTTGCATAAATCCCCTTTCTCACATCTTCTTCTAGAGGACCAAAAATATCCTGAAGTAAAGCTGAGCAACGCTCTGATGATGCCTCCAAGTTCTGCTTACAAAAGTCATCCTGTTTTGCTTCTAGCAGGGTCTTCAAAGGGACAAAGGCCCATGGAAAAGATGTTAGCAGCACTTCAGTATCTCTAGAAATGATTCTCAAGAAGAATCTCTTTTGTGTGTGTGTGTGTTTTCCTAGAAACTAGAGAACTACAGCAAGAGTATATCCTTCTTACCAAACCTAGGAAAGTTCCTAGGGTGATACAGTGCAGAAAAATGACTTTAGTTTTGTGTTTCAAATCTCCTGAAACCCCTTTCTCTTGCTATTTCTGCTTTAGATGTGATCTTCAGACTAAAGAGCTCTAGCTTCATGCCCTAATTTTAAGTGCAACCTACTCATTTGCAACTATTCCTTGCTTCAGTATTTTATAGGGCCTTGGATTCCCAATAAGGAGATGAAGTAGAATAATTGGCTAGAATGAGATGAGTGGATGCTATTAAACCTGGAAACATGATATTTTAGTAGATCCATCTGGCAATTTTGTATACTTTATTAATATAAAAGAAAAGTTAATTAATACTTTATATATTTATGAATGCAATTTTTAAAGAATAAAATTAATTTTAAAAAATTAGTTCATGGGTGTAACATGGTGAATTGTGTGTGTGTGAAACGATCAGAATCCAGCCCTGCGAGCGTAGCTCAGTGAGCATCAAACTATGAACCAGGAGGTCATGGTTCAATTCCCAGTCAGGGCAAATGTCCAGATTTCAGGCTAGGTCCCCAGTGGAGGGTGTGCAGGAGGTAGCCAATCAATGGCTCACTTTCACCATTGATGTTTCTGTCTTTCGCTCCCTCTCCTTTCCTCTCTCTCAAATCAATAAAAACATATTAAAAAATATATAATCAGAATCCATAGGACCCAGAGTATGTTTGTTTATTTTGTTTGTTTGTTTGTTTTTAGAATAACAGTGATATCTTGATCACATAAGTAATAGTATTTCCCAGTCTAAGAAGAACTGATTTTTGCCCAGCTGGCGTGGCTCAGCAGTTGAACATCGACCTATGATCCAGGAGATTGTGGTTCAATTCCTGGTCCGTGTACATGCCCTGGTTGTGGGCTCGATCCCCACCAGGGAGCGTGCAGGAGGCAGCTGATCAATGGCTCTCTCTCATCATTGATGTTTCTATCTCTCTCTCTCCCTCTCTCTTCCTCTCTCCGAAATTAATAAAAATATATTAAAAATTAAAAGAAAAAGAATTGCTTTTCTTAACTAAGTCCCCATTTTGCATTTCATAGCAATACTTTTACTTGTAATGTATGCAAGCCCCATGAGCTAGAGCAAAGAATATTAAATACCTTTAATTCCTTCTGGAATCTTTGGTCTACATCCTTGAAGGAATTCTTCATGAAGACTTCGATGGCCTCTTTCTCACTGGCCCTGTGCAGGTCCAACAGCTCCTGGAGGGTTTCTGTGGGCAGCTGCACCTTCTGGCCCATCTGCAGGTCATAGTGGGCTATGGCCTTTTGTACTGCTGCTGAGTTCTTGATTTGGGCCAAGGACAAGACTGAGTTCTCCATGCGAGGCAAATTCCCATTGTTGATGGCATTGACATAGGCAAGCACCAGGCTTTTTAGACCTTCACAGGGGAAAAAGATGCTTGCATTATTTTCAGAAAAAGAGGGCATGCTCTAAACTGGGTAGTTCTGAGAATGTTAATTTAACAACGCATGGCCTGAGTTTTTCAGTATTCTGCTGTGTTCAGGTGGCCCAAATAAGTTTTATTTTAGAAAGTTGTGTGACTAAAAAGTCAGATCTTTCTTTTTTTTGAGAAAAGGAAGTGTTCAAAGGAGAAATATCAAGATCTATGTGATCATCCTCATGCCATCCTTCTATTGAGAAATGAGGAAATTGTTAAAGTTATACATATTCATTTAATTAGACTACTAGAGGCCTTTTGCCTCTTTACTCTTCCCTTTCTTTCCATCTTCCTGAGGTTTCATTTCCCTTCAAAATTCTCTTTTCTCTTCCACTTGAGTATGTAAAACTGAAATGAGAGCTAGCTGAAAAAACACAAAGTGCACAAATTCGACTAGGCCACTTTTACTCTTTGTTGAAACTTTCTTATTTGTCTTCTTTGTCCCTTGCATACTTTTGTTTGCATTCACCACCCCTCTAGAGCAGCAATTTTCAATCTTTTTCGTCTCATGTCACACATAAACGAGTTACTAAAATTCCGCCGCACACCAAAAAATATATTTTTTTCCCAATCTGACAAAAAAAACACACAAAAAACTATAATTTTGATTCATTCACACCAGATGGCTATTGTCGTACTGACTGCTTTCTTTTTTATTATTATTATTATTTGACAATCTAAAGGAAAAGAGGTCAGTGCCCCTGACTAAATAGTCAGGTTCTGCGTGTTTTAAGAATTCTTGAGGCACACCAGTTGAAAATCATTGCTCTAGAGTATAGCAATAATTTATAGAGTTCTGAGACCTAGAGTCTTTAGAAAAAATCTGGACCAAGATGTCTTGCTTAAATTTCCTTTAGGGCTCTAGACATCTTGGGCCTCTGTTTATTTAATGTTGGTATCAAGTAAGTTCCATTTCTACAGAGAATGTATATGTTCTTGTGCTTATCAAAGGTTGTGACACATAATAAGTATCCACTATTTTCGTGGAACAAATGTTGCCAACTCATGTAGCTAGTCTAGTCCAACAGTGGACCACTTATGAATAGAACTCTTTAATTTGACCTTTTCTTCAGATCGTATTCCTAGTTTATCCTACTTGAGAGGCATAACTAAAAAAAATCACTAGGAATGTTTTGGGTACCCACTGGAACTTAATAACTTAATAAATGTGATTCATACAATTTTCTTAGTAGTAACTGACTATGCATTTTCAACATTGACAACGAAAGAAGAAACTTTTAACGGTAACCCATCCTTTATGTTGAGTTTAAGGAAAATCCTAAAAAAGGTACTCACGAGGTCCATTGACCTGGATGCCTCCTGAAAGAGTTTTAGTCTTGGAATGGTGAAAGATGTAGGAACAGAAATCTGCCACTTGTTGCACAAAGTCAGGATCCAGTTCATCATTATGCAGTGTCTGAAGCTGGGCAAGCTTCTTCCGGTGAGTGGGTGAGTCAAAGACAAAGCATTTCTTTGTTGGAAAGAATTTTTGTATACAAAGACGGGGCATATTAAAATTTTGATGACTTTGATCAGTGTCTGGGGAAGGAAAAATAGGATTTATTTACTATAGAACTAGCATTTATTTTAATGTATTTCCCATGAATAAATTTGCCTTCCACCTAATATTATTTATTTTAACACATCTCCACAAACCCTAAGCAAAAAATTAAAAGGTAACCCATCAGGGAAAAGAAGAAAGAAAAGTAATTTGCTCCAAGAATAGCAAGTAATACAATTTCATATTGAATCTATTAGTTCACTTTAAATTAGTCGTGTTAATTATTTACTTGGCAGTTTAGCCAAGCGATTACATATGGGAAACTATAAATGTAACCACCTATACTCAGAAATATTCTTGTATTACTTTTCTCTCTCTTTCCAAAACTGAAGTCCCGATTACCTTGCTTCAGCTTCAAGGAGTTCTTCAGGTAGTCATCTGCTGTGATGTGCTGCCCATCTGCTTCCAGGGATAGGAAGAAATCTCTCAGAATCCACACTAAGTCTGGGTAGAAGCTCACAATGTCAGCTGCATCTTCAGCCCCATCAAGATCAGGTGAATATACTGTCTTGAGCAGATTTGACAGTTCTGTTACATAACTGAAATATAATTAAGGAAAACTGGTTGGAAATAGGACTGCAGTTAAGCCCATATTGAATTCCTTACATCCTTATACCATTGTTCTCTTTTGGTTGTAACCAATTCCCCATATTATCAGTAAGTATAAGGGCTGTTTTTCTTGTACTTTTAATGTTTATCACATTTTTGTTTTTGTGTTTGAGTCATAAACACAGCTGGGGGATAGAAGAATTCTCTCTGGCTTTGGTGCCGTCCTGGATCATAAAAGGATACTGCAATAGATCGATAGACCTCTGGTCAATTTTGTTCATGGTGTTGTAAACAAAGGTACTGCTCAGTAGTATTGCCAGTGCAAAGATGTGAGTATCATTGTTCTTGTCACCCTAGAAGTAAGAACAAATTTAAGTCATGTCTCATGGCATTCCCAGATGAGCAATCATTAAAAATAAGCCCCTGACCTACAATGTTCAATGAGACAAACAAAAATGATTGTGAGAAACATATAAATTTGAATAGTTCTGTCATTAGCATTGAAAAAATTTTTTTGCTATTTTTCACTGTATTTTAATTTATACTGATACAAAAACATACAGGTAGAGATGGAGAATGATCATTTGGTAGTCATGGAGACGAGGGCATTTTATTTACAAATCTTCCCCCATCTCAACCATATCACTGATGACCAATAAGTGTTGGCATTGCTGGCTGATTCCACTTGGAAGGTTAGGGTGTCATTGGGTCTGTTGTGGCCAGAGGCTCCATGGTGACTGGGCAGTCCAAGTGTGGATGGTCCATGGAGAGGCTGTGGTCCTCTGTAGAGCTGGGCTTTGGGCCCATCCTTGAGAAGCTAGGCAAGGAGGCTGCTGGAACTGAGGCTGGATGGCCAGAGTCCACGCCTCCTTGTCCACGTCCTCCAATGGAAGATATTGGTGTGTCTACCTGTCATCCGTTTCTTGGTGGGTCTCGTATTTATAGTCAGGCTTGTTCGGTCTGTTTGGAGTAGACTTTATGTAAGATGTGAAGCGCAGCTGGCAAAAGCACTGGCCAGACAGGACAGATGGAGGAGAAATGCCAACTCATGACAAGTTCTGCTCAGTTAATGAGGAGTGCACGGGGATCGAGTCTTCCTTAGACAATGCCAAGCATGAGAAGCATTAAATATACTCAGCCTTGCCAATGCTGGCAGAAAGGTGACCACGACCTACTGGATGCTGAGGCAGGAAATTACGTCCCTGGTTCACGAACTGAAGGAAGAGAGATCCAAACGCTCCAGGCAAGAGGAGATGGGAGGGATGTTAAAGAGGCTCAAGTCCCTGGAAGAGGTCATGAAAATCTCCACTTTACAAGCCGCTGTTCCGAGCCTGCCAGGATGCCAGGAGTCAAGCCCTGATGGTTCCCTCCTCAGGAATGGACCTGGGTCTTAAAGCAGCCCTGTTCCCTCCACTCCACTTGGGCCTCTCCAGTTACCAGCTGTGCAGCCCGCCTCCACATCTTTCTGCATTTCGGTTAACTGCTTAGCTCCACACTAGTGGAGTCTCCCTATCATGACTTTGGCTTAGAAATATATTTTCCTCCCTTCAGGTTTCCAAACTTTGACTATTAAATATAGATTCTCTAGTCAAGTGGAAGTACATTAAAAAAATCTCTATAAAGAATGCTCAGAGATGAGAGGGTTGATTCTTGCCCCTCACCTTCTCTACATCTCCAAGTCCCTCGGTGTCAAGCAGAACTAGAGTGTGGTTTGGCTTCTTGGGATGAGGAACACACCACATCCAGATTCCCTTGGTATGAGACTGCACCGTGGATCCAACTGAGAAGCCTGCAGGGGAAGCGGAGAGGTTGTACTAGATGAGGGGATCTGGAAATTGGAGATGCTCTTGACAATTGAGCTAGGGTTTAAGGAGAACAAGGTGTGGCTATGGAAGAAAGTATAACCAGTATTGACCTGAACTGCAATAGAGAGATGGGAAAACAAGAGTATCAAGTATCACAGGTTGAAAACTTGATGGGTTTTTTTTACAAGAATATTATGCTACTAAAATTTTAATATAATTATAAACAATTATGTATATATATGTTATTTTATTGGTGTCTTATGCTTTATGATTGGACAATATTTTGCTTTATCCAAGGAGATACTAAGTAAAAAGAAAAAGAGGTGATATTTCAGAAACAGACCTCTGTCCTTTATCTCCCAGAAGATAATTAGCCAGCTGTGGCCCAAACATTACCTTTCAATATTCCTCCCCATCTCTAACTTTCTCTCCTCACATCTCCATACTCATGCTGGGAGTGTGGGTGAAAAGAAAGGACTCAGCAGAGCTTTACTGGGAAATAAGAGTATCAAGTATCACAGGTTGAAAACTTGGTGTTTTCAAGTTTTCTTGTCACTCACCCTCTTTCTTCCTCGCCAGCTTGTTCATCAGGTAGGATTTGCCAGTGCGGTAGAGGCCCACAATGGCCACCACGGCAAGAGGCCGTGTGAAGGAAGACAGGATCTTCAGAGCTTCCTGATTAACTTCCAGTCGCCCTTTGATGTTCTCAATGAGACACACTGGGCATGGCATGTGGATCTCTGAGGCCATGTCCAGGGTGTGACCTTGTCTGCAAGGGAATGGATGGGATGGATTAGAACTTCCAGTCTTTCGTCCTTTTGCTTCCTGAACCTGAGGACATATTACTCCTCAGCATGGCCTAAGTGTCTGAAGAAATTATAAAAAAAAAAAAAAAAAGACAGCAAAGCAAGTTACAGTAAAATCCTGGACCCATCAGAGGTCTACTATAAGATAATCTACTGGTTCTTAAATATTCAAGGGCATATGGAAAACTATTTTCTAAATATAATCTATTGCTGGTTTGAATCGGACTCTTCTCCATTGGTTTTTGGCTTGCTTATGTTTCTTAGTTTTTACCTCCCTGAATCCTCATATTGAATCTTTTTGACCATTATTTGTTATATTACACTTCTTGCTTTTACCCCACCTAAACTTGCTTTTCTGTAATGTAGGGTTATATGTCCAGTCAAAGTGTAGTATACTAAATCCTGACAGGTCATTATATACTATTGTTGAACAAATCATAGCAGTTTAAAAGAATTTTTATATAGATATTGGTGTGCCTTTTTCAATCAAAATATTTAAGGCATAATCATTTTATGAATGAGAAAATGAGTGAAAATACTTTTTACAATACTACTTACCCATTTATTTTGTAACTTCTGGGCATCAACTCCTATAACCTGATAAAACATTTTTAAGCTAGCTGAGATTTAAGCAAATGCTTGCTCTTTTGCAGTGCCTTACCATAAAAAACAAATTTCTTTCATTTTACAAGTGATTATTTACTACAGAAGCTAAAAATCCACCATCTGCTTGATTTTTTCTTTCACTGAAATCTCCCAATGAACACATCTGGATTTCCTTACTACTTGACTACAAAAATTGCTTTTGAAAAAAATTATAAAGATACATTCTCCCCACTTCCTCATAGCTAGTGCCCTGGAGATCATCCAGGTACAGAAAAATAAAAACAGAAGCTGCTTGGGAGCAGATAATAGGACATCCATTGCAAATGGCATAGCACTAGGGAATCAGAAAATGCCCAATCCAAGCCAGATCCAGAAAGAGTGGATTCCATGTGATTTTACTGATTCTTTTTATTCTAATTCAGTCCCAATGCAATATTAGCAACCTACATTTGTAAAATTCTGGTTGTCTGATTTGTATATAGCACTGGTTATAAGTATTTTTAGATTAGAAAGATAGGGGTATCTGGCAGTGATGATCTACAACAATTAGAAAAGTAGAAGATACACAATCTAAATATATTTGCAGATAATGGGGTCTGACAAGTTCTTGCGCTTCAGGATGTTGTCACTAATGGGAAAGGGAACTAATTTGTTTTAATTCTCTGGCCTTCCAATGAATAACATTAGAGCTGTGTATCTATATTGTAAAAGTGTTTTATAGATTGTTCCCAAATGTTATCTAGTTAACATTTTTAACGCTTTTAGGAAATTCCAGTCTCCAAAATTTTTGCAAATTAAACATGTTCAAGCCCCACACTTGACTATGGCTCTGCTTTCATAACTCAGCCTGTGATGTGTGCTCTGAGATGCATTCTGCCTAACACCGTTAGAGCCCATTACCTTTTGTAAATAAAAACGATGCAAGAATGCATATCACACATGCCCGCACACACACACACACACACACACACACACAATTCATTTTGGCTTTAAAGTAAAGCAGACCTGATTTCCAATCCTAGCCCTGCAAACTGGCTATCTGTATGACATTGCATTTCACTCAATGCTCTAAGCCTGTTTTTAAAATAATGGAAGTAAATAAATTAACGCCTATTTATATGGGTAGAACTGCTAGCTTGAGAGAATGAGAGAGAGAGCTGTAGGAACAGAAAAAAAGTGTAAAGAAGGAAAATGCCAAAAAATATTTTTTTAAAGGCTCAAAAGTCCTAGTGATGGTGTTTCTAGAAGATTTCTCTATTTTCAGCCATGCAATTCTAGTTGGGTTTTGTGTTATTTTTATTAGCGTTGCTTCCTTTTGTTTTGCTTTGTGTTGTTCTTGGTTTGAAGTTGGAGGAAGAGAAGAAGGCCCTTATCAAGGGAGGAAATGGGAATCAAACAAGGGGGCGATGCATGGGGCTCGTGCTGTGATAAGAAATTCAAAGGAGAGCGTTCCAAGGAGTAAACAAAATTACCAGACTGAATCAAGTGTTAGTAATAACAGAAGCAACAGAGTAGTAGAAACAGAATCCAATGTAAAGGGCCTTAAGTGGGTACCAAGAAATCAAAACTAATTGATTCATGGTCTTTCTAAAGGAAGAACTCTACCTTCAAACAAAGTACAAGACTATGGCTAAGAATATGTAGTTGTTTTCATGAAAGCTCTTTATTATTCACTTTGGGTTTTAATGTTTTTTGGCCTTACCGATGTGAGCAAGCTCTTTTCATTGTATCTCATTCATTTCTCTTTCAAAAATAATGGTTATAGTTTTTGAAATTTTCAGGATGTTTGGGCTAATTCCATCAGGTTTTATCAAAGATTAAGATAACCAAAGTGGCAGTTATGATTCCCATAGATCATAAGTTGTCAAAGGAAGAAAAACAGTGTTAAGACATTTCACACTTAGGTTAGTCTCTACACATGCTTCTGTTTAGTTCAGCAGTAAGCAAATGTAGCTGCTCTTAACGAATTCTGCTTCCTGTCTGACAGCACCCCAGTTTAGTTTTTAATGAAGTCTGATAATCCGTCCCAGGCTCAGCAGCATCCTATCCTGGATAAAATGTTATTAAAACATCCTGCCCCTTATAAACCTTTTCCCACCCTGGTCCCAGTCTTACCTTAACTGTAAAATCAATAGCAGATGTCTTTTACAGCTGGTAACAAAGCTGCTTCTATGAGAATGTTGTAGGAGTTCTAACTCTGCCTCTCAATTTAGCTGTGTTGGCTTCCGATAAATGTTTTTCCCTACCAAATCCTGGGGATTTTATTTTTCTTTATATCCCTTTCCCCCTCACACACATACACACAGAGCAGAGGATTAGAATACAAAATAAAAACCAGAAGTAGGAGGGGTTTCCTAGCTTTGCTGCAGGAAACAAACTACACAGCAAGCTCATAGGCTAGGCAGTTCTAAACAGAGTGTTGAGTGTTGCCAGGTGAATGTATTTGGCCTGATTTCTCAGAAACTGCATAATGTCAGTGAAAGATAGTTTCAGTTTAACTTTCTATTTCAAACTGTCCTCAGGGCTGTGAGAGTCCATAACTCCACAGTTACAGTTAGTATAATCCCAAAGTATGTTTGAATTATGTGAATATGCCATTTTCCTTTTTAAGGAAGCAACCATCCTTGTATTTAGCAATAGAGAGGTTGATAGAATTTTCTTTGACAAAATCGAGTTTGGAATACATAGAATACATTGCTGTATAATGTCAATGAAAAAATTAACTTACTAAATAGATAAACCAAATGCTGAATAATTTTAAAGAATTTAAAGAAAAGAGAGTCTCTTCAGTAAGTGGTATTGACAAAACTGAGCAGATACATGTTAAAAAAAAGATGAATTTTTTTACACCATATACAAAAATAAATTAAAAATGGATTAAAGACTTAAACATAGCACCTGAAACCATAACATTTCTAGGAAAAATATATATATATGAGCAGTAAACTCTTTGACGTCAGTCTTAGCTACTTTTTTTTTTTTTTTCATATGTCTCCTCAGGCAAAAGCAACAATAGCAAAAATAAACAAATGGAACTACATCAAACTAAAAAGCTTTTGCATAGTAAAGGAAACAATTAACAAAATGAAAGGCAACCTACTGAATGGGAGAAGATATTTGCAAATGATATACTCAATAAGGGGTTAATATTCAAAATATATAAAGAACTCATACAACTCAACATCAAACATACACACACACCTTGTTAAAAAATGGGCAGAGGACCTGAATAGACATTTCTCCAAAAAAGACATAGAGACAGCCAAAAGACACATGAAAAAATGCTCAACATCACAATCATTAGGGAAATGCAGATCAAAACCACTATGAGATGTAACTTTGTACCTGTTAGAATGGCTGTTATCAAAAAGACAATAACAAGTGTTGGCAAAGATGTAGAGAAAAGGCAACCTTCGTGCACTGTTAGTAGGAATGTAAACTAGTGCAGCCACTATGGAAAACAGTGTGGAGGTTCCTCAAAAAATTAAAAATATAGCTACCATATAGCCCAGCAATTCCTCTTACAGGTATTTAAAAAACAAACCTCAAAACAAACACTGATTTAAAAAGAGATATATATATACCCCTGTGTTTACTGCACCATTATATACAGTAACCATGATATGGCAGCAACTTCGGTGGATAAACAAGTTGTGAGATATATATATATATATAATGGAATATTACTCAGTTAAAAAGGGATAAATACTGGACATTTGTGACATTAATGGACCTAGAGGGAAAATAAGCTGGATAAAGATAAATACCATATGATTTTATTTATATATGGAATATAAGAAAACAGATAAACAAAACAATGCAGAAACGCACTCACAGAGAGAACAGAGGGGAAAGGTGTTGGGGGATGGGCAAAAAAGTGAAGGAGAATCAGAGCTAGGAACTTCCAGCTATAAAAAGTCACAGGGATGAAATATACAGCATAGAGAATATAGTCAACAATATTGTAATAACTTTGGTGACAAATGATCAGTAGACTTATTGTGGTGATCGCTTTGTAAGGTATGTAAATATCGAGCCACTATATTGTACACCTGAAACTAATAGAATATGTCTACTATAATGAAAATTAAATAAGTAAACACTTTGGATATTGCTGGGCATGAAGACATATGGAAAAAATGAATAAGGAATTGATACTGTGAGTGACTAGAAAATCTGCCCTTAGTTCAGCAGTTACTGTGTCTAGGGCCTGGGAAACAGGATAGAAATGAGAATTTAGGAGGATTCACTATAATTTGAATAATATTTGAAGGAAGAAAGAAACTTCTTCTAAGAATGGGATAGTGGCTGCTAGCTAGCATTTTGTACCTGCAAACTTAACACTAGACAAAAAGTTCTCTTATTCCACTCCATGAGAAGCCCCTTCTGTTTCTTATCTTTTGCCCCCTCACCCCACTAACTGCATGTATCTGTTCTAGGCCACATCACTGATGGTGACCACAGGTATCTAGGGTACAGCCCAGATTACTGGTTGTTCCTCATCTTGCCCTGACTCCAATCCCCAGGGAACAGATTTGATGCCTTGCAAGTGAAGCCAATTGTAAAGAGTATCTTCACCCCTGGTTCCGACATCCAATTTGTAAAATTAAAAAACAGATTGGTCTCCCTCTGGTGCCTGTGACATCTGGTCTGAGATAACGGTAAATATGTATGCACATATACTGTTAAATTCTACGGCTGGAAATGCCCCTTAATACATGTGTCCAAAACTTTTCAAAGATAGTTAATTTGTGACTCTGCTGGCAAAAGCTACTGATTTACATATGTTGTACTTGTCATTTTTGTACCTCCAAGGCCTTCAAAATGAGCATGTGTTGATGGAAAAGTCTTACTAGAAGTAGCAGTTTAAGAAAAGGCCTCACTCCAGAAAGAGTACAGGTCTTTGCATTCCTAGATCCAGGCTCCTCCTGAGCGCTCTCTGCAGGGTCCCGGGTCCCAGGATGCCCTGAGTTCTGTATGTAGATGGGCTTCTTCCCTGTAACTTGAGGTGCTCCAGCCCCAGCTTGACCACCTGAGTTAGATCAGTGAGTGGCCAGCTACCCAGGGATTATCCTTCCCAAACTGCAGAATCTGAGCAAACCTGAAAAGAGCATCAAGTCTTGTAACAGGAGAGCCGTGATTTTTGACATGGTGCCCAGTTTTTCCTAATATTAGATGTCCAGGACATTTCACCAGAGTCTGGCAGAGTCGGCGTCCTCTGTTCCTTTCCACCTGCTGCTTCTCCTTCCCTGTCTTGTCCTCTCCTCTGCTCTCCAGCCATCGCCTGCCTCCTGCCTCCTGCCTCTGGGGGTATCATGCAGAGCCTGTCCAGTCAGACATCTCTGTTTACAGCCAGGTCCATTCCACGTCTGATTCTGTTCGTTGTCATGGTTTCACCATTTCCAAACAAATATAAACTGTATTTGTTATCTGTCTCTACGAAGAGGTAGAATCATTAAATATGCACAAAGTATTTCAGAGTAGGAAGACTGTAGAAAAGCTGCTTCTCCTCTAGAAACCATGTAAGTGTCAAGATGATTTGAAGTACTCTCAGGAAAACTATTTGGAAACATATACTTAAGTTGAACTGAAGTTCCCTACGACCTGGCCATTCCATTCCTAAGCATATGTCCAGCAGAAATGTGGATACATGCGCATAAAAAACATGCAGAGAGTGATCATAGTAGCAATATGTATAATAGCTCCAAGCTGAATATGACCCTGGGGTATTGGGTAATGGAATATGTAATAGTAATGAAAATAACCAAACTACACCTAAACCCAACAACATGGATTTATCTGACAGTCACATGGTGAATAAAATAAAGTGCACACTAGGAAATACATGTTATGTTATTCTATTTACATAAAGTTTTCGAACAGGCAAAATTAGTCTTTGATAAGAAAAGTAATAATAGTGACTATCTTTGATCAGGATGGAGTGGTTATTGGGTAAAAAGGGCCCAAGAAAGTTTCTAGGATTTGGAAGTGCTCTTTTTTTAAATCAAGATAATAGCCCGGCCGGGCGTGGCTCAGCAGTTCAGCGTTGACCTAGGATCCAGGCTGATCGGGGTTTGATTCCCAGTCAGGGCACATGCCCGGGTTGCGGGCTGGATCAATGACTCTCTCATCATTGATGTTTCTCTCTCTCTCTCCCTCTCCTTTCTTCTCTCTGAAATCAATAAAGATAGATTAAAAAATAATAAATAAATAAATAAAGATAATACAGGGATGTGTTCATTTCGCGTGTTTCACCTACTGCATACGTTTGCCCTTAGAACTTTTCTGTTTCTAGGTTTGCTTTTCTTTAAAAGGTGAAATATTATGGTAAAAGTTCTTATTCTAATAAAAAGGCCACTGAACAATTTAAATGTGATCTAAAATTCAGATTCTTTCCCAAGTTGTCAGTAATATAGGCTCAGAGTGAAAATGACCAGTATGTTTGTACAATTTCAGGGCTGTATTAAACTCTCATCTGAGAGAAACTGGGGGAAAACTCACCAGCTCTGCCTGTCTCTCCTCCTGCCTTCCCTAACTTTCTGTCTGATTAATATTTTGCAGAGGAGAAGGTCTAAAGTTCATCCTCACTTTCTTGCCAATGTAAAATTCTGGTGTCAATTTCAGGACAAAGTTTGATACTTTCTATGAAAGTGAGAATGAAAGCAAAGTAGAGCAGGGCTACTTTGAAATCGGACAATGCTAAGAAATCAGCTGCTTGTTCTTCTGACCAATAAAGTCTGTGTTTATATCAGGGAAGCAAAACAAGCTCCAGGGAAAACCGAATGTTTTTGTGAGCTTTTGAACTGAGATTCTTGCCAATCCTCTAAAACCCTTTCCAGATAAGCTAAAGTTCTTTACTGCATGCACAAAGACTTGGAACTGTCTGTAAGAATAATTTAATTAATGGTATGTTGAGCAGGAGCCTATTTAAAAACAACTGCTGAACAAAATAGATCCAGAAACATAGAAGCATGGAACAGACTGACTAATCTCAGAGGGAAGGCGGGGGTGGGTGGGTGAGCAGAGGTTAATCAAAGAATTTATATGCATGACCCATGGACACAGACAAAAGTGTGGTGAAGGCCTGGGGTAAGGGGTGGGGGCTGGGTGGAAGGGGTCAATGGGGGAAAAAAGGGGACATCTGTAATACTTTCAACAGTAAAGATAAATTTTAAAAATAATAATAATTTTAAAAAATCAATAAGGTGTAGATAAAACCCTGAAACGTGTACACTAAAACTAACAGTATTTCTAGTAAAGTTATTTTTATGGTTCTGTGTGCATTATGAATTTATTTTCAATAAGTGTGAATTATTTTTCTTC